GGAACAGCTAAAAAAGAAAGGCCACTGCTAACTACCCAGACAAGGAGCAGAGTTTGGCTTTGTGGTTTTTTTAATTTTCAAAAAAGATGTGTTTATTATTTATTTGAAAGGGAGGAGAGGAGAGAAGAAAGACAGGGAGAGATCTTCCAGCCACTGCTTCATTCCCCAAGTGGTTACAGCAGCCCAGGCTGAGGGGTGGGGGGTTGGTCTCTGCCAGGCTGAAGCCAGGAGCCTGGAATTCCTTCAGGTCTCCCATGTGGATGTGGGAGGTCCAAGCATCTGGGCCATCTTCTGCTACTTTCCTAGATGCAGAAGCAGGGAGCTAGGGCATAGTAGAATAGCCAGGACTTGAACTGGCACCTATATAAGATGATGGCATTGTAAGTTGAGGCTTAACTTCCTACATCACAGCACCAGCCTTGAAGTTCTTGTGATCAAGCCTTGGCGTCCAGCCCCAGCTCTGCCTCTGCGTCCAGCTGCCTGCTAATACACCACCCATGGGGTGGCAGGCAACGACTCCTGGCTTTGGACCAGCTCAGTTCTTGGCACTGTGACCATTTCGGGTGTAAACCAGCAGATGGAGGACCTCTCTTTCTGTTTCTCCTTCTCTTTCTCTCTGTGTAATTTTTGCCTTTCAAATAAAAATAAATGATTGAAAATGTTTGTATATTAAAAAGTTGTTTCATGCCAATTATATGGTATCCACAATGTGCTTGAGGCAAGCTGTTTGGTCTTAGGGGAGAGGTGTTTTTTTTTTTTTTCAATTTGAGAGGTAGAAAGAGAGAATGAGAGAGAGAGAGAGAGACAGAGAGAGAGAGAGAGAGAGAGAGAGAGATGCGGGACACGGGGAGGGCACTCCCGCCCACTGTTCTTTCCCCAGAAGCCTGTAACGCACCTAGCTGAGGCTAGAGCTAGAAACCAGCAACTCAGGTCAGGTCTCCTGCTCTGGTGCCAGGGACCCAGCTACTCAAGCCATCGTTGCTGCCTTTCTGGATAGCTTGAGCAGGAAGTTTGAGTCAGGATCTGGATACTCAGACATGGGCATCTCCACAGATGTCGTCACCACTAAGCCAAGTATCTGCTCTGGGTGACAAAGCTTCTCTAAGATAATCCTGTGTTTTCCAGTCCGGGAAACCTTTAACTCCTTGGCAATACAGTTGGAGAAACAAATATGCTTTTGGATATCTGGGAGCAGAAAATATTTTTATATCAAAATAAGCCCATTTGTCACAGAATAGGATAAACCACAGATTAAGGTTCATAAATGAGCATGTGGGGAGGCTTGGCAGGTGGTCCATCTCATCCTTCCGTTCTTCCTGGTTTTCTTGTCTTCTGCAAAGCCAAACCTGCTGTCTGACAACCAGTGCAGGGAGGGAAGCTAAATTCAGCAAGATCTCCAGCGGACACCCAGGAGTAAGCTGGGATGATGAACCTGACGCCACTTCAGCCTACAGCCTTCAGGGGATACTTATTTGGCTCTTCAGCTCTTGGAATTTTCCACATGACCACATGATTTCAAATCAGTTTTAGTTTATTTTAAACCATGACTGTATTCCAAGAGCCCTTGTTACCACTGTCCAGAAGGGATGCCTCCCCAACTCTGTTAAGTGGTTCCTCTCGTCACAGCCTGGCTGGTAACAAGTAGGATTAAAAAAAAAAATAACTTTAAAGAATTTAAGCCAAGTTTTAAAACATTGACTTTTAATATCTGTAAGATGTTTTCTTGGATTCCAAGACGACGATGAAGGTATGAGTGGAGTTCTTCACTGCATAAGAGAGCATCTTTTGCTTGTGGGTAGCTTTGTAAGTACTTGTCTTTAGAAATCAGAAACTGTTTGTAAAGTTAATGCCTAGCGATAAACAAGCAGGTATAGTTGATCACAGACTTCTGTGCAGAGATTTCTTCTTTAATGATTTGAAGTTGAATCAGTCAGTGCCCTCTTGTCACCCCCCAGGTCGCCCTCTACGAGTGCTTAACTGCTCCTGTCACCTCCCTGGTATTTTGCACTTGGAAATCTACTCCAGATAGAGGAAAAATATTCTGCTAAGTCAGAGTCTGCTCAGACCAGTGCATGTGAGGACAGAGATCATGTGACTTTAAGAAGCTGATGACAGCTCTTAGTGCCAGGAGAACTGTTCATCTCACCAAAAGGATTGCTTCTCTAGTATATTCTACCTTATCAAAGTTTAACTGTAAAGCATTGTATAAATATCTACATATAGCAGTACCACAAGCCTTTGATGTTAGGATGATAACAAAGTGAATCCACTAAACTAAAGACATAAAAGAAATGTATAGAATTTAATTTAAAATCAATTAATGATAAAGGGAGAGTTGATAAGAAGACTGTATGGTCTTATTAGTCCTATTGAGATTCTTACTCTTAAGAAAGAAAGGCCACAGGTCTTGTGCCCACCTATGCAGTGGGAGCTGGGTCCATGAGTAGGGAATTTGGTGGGGCCCAGGTTGCTTGGCGTATGCCACATTAGGACCCTGAGTTGATATTGGGTGGTCGTTCCCCATCCCCCCAGGTGCTGGGGTGGGTGGGAGGCTGGGTGTGGCTTCTCCTCTTGACTCAGTCCTCAGTATCACCTACAGGTGATACATCTCACCAACAAAGATCAGTGGAAACCATATCGCATGGATTTTGATAGTTTTGTTTTTAGTTTCATTTCTTCAAAACACTTTTTCCCTCATTTTCTTTGAGAATGTTCTTGATTTCCTTTTCCATTTCTTCAGCGACACAGAAGTCATTCAGTAGCATGTTATTTAACTTCATGGCATTGTAAGTTTCTATTTTTTATTTCCAATGCTGATTTTGTTTTGTGGTTTTTCATTTAAGGGGATGTATAGTAACTATGTAATGGAGACTATCATATCTAGTGGTATGTTGTTTAACTTCATGACATTATAAGTTTCTGTTTTTCTTCCTCTTATTGATTTTGTTTTGTGGCTTTTCACTTGGGGGAATTTATAGTGACTGTGTAGTGGAGACTGACATGTCCAGATGTGAGGATATGGTGCAGTGTACATCTCTACTTCCGGATCGAGGATGGACTCCCAGTGAAACTGTTAGATGTGTCTTGACAATGGGATGCTGGGGTCTCTGCCATTGTCCATGCCCACAACGATGGACTTATGACTATTTATGAAGAACTATGCTGTTGTAATGATATTGGAGAACTCAGTGGGTGAGGGGGGAGGGAGTTAGGATAGTGGGGTGGGGAAATCTCAGGGCCTATGGAAATGAATCATAAAATGATAATAATAATAATAAATGAAAAAATGCATGGAATAAAAAATGAAAAGATACGAGATGTAGGAAAAAAAGCCTTATTTAGTACAAAATACTCATATGATTAGTGAAACTCACCAGTAGCAAACTAAAACTTTACAGGGTACTTTAAAGCTACTTTTAGACCATGTTCTTAACAGCTTAACAGACTTGATCATGATTTAACAAAACTGATCCATGAGTATTTAAATTAGCCAACTGACCCAAAACCCAGGCTGTAAAGGTCCAATAACACATATTCCCACACTATCAGTTGGTTTGTATGTAGAGATATGGTCTTCGTGTCTTCACAGATAAGCCAAGCATCCTTTGACAAAAATATCTTAACCAATAAGATAAATAGATTTCCTATTTGAAATAGGGAATGCACACACTTTTGACATTTTGTCATATTGGAGGTAGCCAATATTTTTAACATACAAGAATGAAGATCAAGAGCTGGCATGGGGGAGTCACAAGCTAGTCCCCTGTGTGGGGGCATCAGTATCCCATGTGGGCACTAGCTTGAGCCCCAGACTTTCTACTTCCAATTCAGTTCCCTGCTAATGGCTTGGGAAAGCAGCAGAGCAAGCACTTGGCTTCCATCTTTGGAATGGCCCAGCTCTGGCCATGACAGAGTGAGCCAGAGGATGGAAAATCCCTCTTTGTATTTCTGACTTTCAAATAAAAATAAATAAATCTTAAAAAAAAAAGTCAAGATCATCAGCCAATCAGGATAGAAAAAGAGGGAGTTGCTGTAGCTTGTAGATATGCCAGATTTTCTTGTGCTGTTCCCAAGTGCAACCTGGAATGTCTGCCGCTTCTCTGGTGAACCTAAGGCAGCCTGGAGCATGACCACTGTCACAACCACCAGGCCTGATCAGGAAAGAAAGGCTAGCAGGTATCATCCTGAGATGATAGGGCCCTTCCTTCAAGTCACCTTATATCCTACCCTGAGAATGTAAGACCAACAAGAATGAAGATGAAGGATGAATCAGTGCTGAGGTCTCTTGTCTTTCAACTCCTTGAGTAAAACTTTATAGTGTCAAGATCCAAGAAGGAAGTTGCTGAAAAGATAACGGGCTCATACCTATAACTGCAGTTTCTTGGGTTTTTCAAAAGGCTTTCATTGAATTGAATGGATACCTTTAGCAATCCCTGTTTGTAACATCTCTGTAACACTATCACTATGTTTTGGGTGAGAGCTCTGGTGGATTTGGTCATGATGCTGTGCCAAGAACATGATGGAGGTCACAGATGAGTTTGATAGCATCATGGTTCCAGCCTTTTGTCTTCAACTCTGTGACTCTGCAACCCCAGACACATAAATGAATATTGTGTTATCTCATCATAGACACTTTAGATTTTTTGTACTACTCACTAAATACATTTTCCCTTCTCCTTTCTTGTAAAGTTAGGCTTTCAGAAATCCTTTAATAAATTCAAATGGGAAAAGGATAGACAACTGGTGTTAGGCAGCCCTGTGTGAAATAAGCAACTGGTTTGCTTAGAAAAGGCATTTTGACCCAGAAAAATGGAGATATTTCAAGATGCTACTATGGCACACTCTATTGTGTTTCTTATTCCTACTAAATGCAAGAAAGCATTTACATGTCACTATTTTAAGTCAAAATACTACTTAATCTATAGCCGGCATTTTTTAAAAACATGGTGACCAAGAACAGACAATAATGACCAACGTGCTGGCTTCAAAGTGAGATTTCATTTGCAATTTTTAATTAAGCAATCCGCGCATGATTTTTTTCTTCAACATTGGGAGGAAAAAAAAATATGACCACACTGGGGGCCTAGTGAAGAAACAGAAAATGCTTTCTCATTTCAACCAGATTTCAACACTGCAGAGTACAAAGAAGCAGTTGCCCAGGCCTCAATACTCCTCAGGATTGCTCGATTGCAAATCTCGCAAGTAGGAATCAATTATGTTTGGAGGTACACCTTGCAAAAGGAGCCTGCAGAAGGAGAGTCCACCTAGAGAGGACAAGAAGGAAAAGGGAAAAGTCAAAACTCCATGTGAGAAGTCTCTGATAGAATACTTTTTTTTTTTTTTTTACTACTCCTGGAAATGTGACTAATTGCATTCCCTTTAGTTGCAAAGATCGATTCTAGCCCCACTTGGAAACCTTCTCTTGGTTTTAGTACATTTAGAATCTAAAGCACTTGACCTCTAGAAAGAAAAGCAAGCTTCCGGCAGACCTATAGTAGTTCTTCCTGCCCCGCCCCCCGCCCCTTACTATTGTTCAGTAGTAATTTAAATTTCGACATGGTTGAAAAGTGTTGTATTTTGAAATATATTTTGATTCCTCTATAGATGATAGATTCAAAGGCAAAACCAGTGCATACCATGCTATGGGTCAGCCGGAAGATCTGTTTCTAGTTGGTTAATGTTCTTTTAATTAAGCACAACAAGTTCTGATTCAAGCACATCAGAGAACACCACTGCCTTTCACTTTGGCTATGCACACACTGACACAGGTGCACAACTTAAACATTTTTCTTAAAAAAACATAAGAGCTGTCCAATATCTTCTGAAAGTCAAATGCCTATTAATATTTCATACCTACCTTTCTGAGTTTCTGAATTATATTTGGAAATGAAAATACTCTTCAAGAGAGAACCATGAAACTAAGAAAATTCATGGTCTTCTGTTAAAGTGCTTTACTACTTGCTAATAAATTCACGTCCAGACAAAACAGCATGCCATTTGAGCATTCTTAAAAAGACTTTAATGCAAATTTGAGGAAAGTCATTCTCCTTTAAAAAAAAAAAACTCAAATCACATAACGGTAGAAATGATGCCACTTATGTGCACGTCCATTCCTTGATGCAAAGAATTCATAATGCTTGGGTGTCATTCATTTTCATCTGCATTAATGCTCTAAATCGTGCTCCATCACATTCACCAACTTGCTTCATGTCACTAGGAGGTTGCTGTGGTGAGTAAGTACTAGCTGTTAATTTTAAGATATTGAAATGCAAATTAAAACCATAAAGTTAGCAATTTTAGGAAGTCTATTTTCATTGGGTTCCATAATGAAAATCATGCCATACTCCACAAGCTCAGTATGGCTTATGAGAGTCATAAGCTTCATATGTCAAAACCATATGAAAGCTTACCTTAGATGACCAATATACATTCAAAAATCCTTATTGTGCTACAACTAAGGGAAAGAGAGAGAGAGGGGGAGAGAGAGAGAGGAAGGTTATAAGCATTAATAAAGTGCTATCACCAAAGTTGAGTATTTGTTGGATAAAATTATGGCCATGATTATGATGAGAGGATTTCATTAAACCTTAGTCATGTGAAAGGTGTAGGAAAGGAGGGGGTGGAATAAAGGAGGGGGATCCAGTCACTTCAAATGATCATTAATATGTAAAATATTAATATGCACAACCATTTTGCTGGAATAGGTGGTAAGGCCAATCTGAATATTTATGCTAAGAGCTTCCAAACCATTAGCTTTTTTTAAAAAAAAAATCCTACAACATATATATATCGTGTTTTTCAACAAAAGAAAAACTTTGACAATACACAAAGTGTTAGTGTACATATATATATGTTGAAATTCCAAAAGGCAAAATTATCAAGTATACATATTAGACTAACATATTCTACAATATCGCATTCTGAACTAAACACATAGAGTGATTTAAATGAACATAATATTTAAGCACATAATCTTTAAAGAAAGAAACTTAATGTTTCCCTCTTTTGGAAGTTGATATTGTTCAGAAATGCATATTTAGAAAGCAAATACTGTAAACTCAAACATGATTTACATCGTTTGAGTTTACAACAGGATGCTTCTCCAGCCCCAAAGAACTTTTCATTAGCTTTTCCAAATGGGAAAAAACATGCATATATAACAGGATTCAATCATGACTTAATACATTTGGTCATGGGGTCTAGAATTTTCTTCAAGTCTCATAGCATAAAAAATTGGGCCCATTGAATATGTCCAATGATTTATGGATATCTACTGATGAAATGTAATGAAAAAACCTTAAATGTGAAAGTTTTATAATGCCCAATTATTTTTGTATTCTTTCACCATCAAAAAATATCCAGAACAGTTTTTTTTCTTATAACTTAAACTGTTGCTTCATGAATTTTATCATGAAAGAATTTTCATCATGAATCTCGGGGAACTGCAGTAACTAACTTAAGAGCATATCTTTCTACATTTGAAAAATGAACATACAAAATAAATGTCATTGAGACTCAAGTTTGAAGTCTCATTTTATAAAATAATGTCATTTTCCAACATAGCTTTTCGGCTTGATGTATGGCAACACATGATACAGAATGTGGTTTTTAGATATTAGGTAGCTTCTACATTACTTAATATCCTTGAATAATTTGGCCTTCCTTGTTCATGGCATAAACACCGTATGCCATGAGCTGCTAAAAAATACAATTAAAAGCAAAAATTTTTAAAAATCAAGCTTTTACATGCAAAGTACGTTTTCATGTAAGAGGAATGGAACGGAAAGTAGAAATATCCGGTGGGATATGAACTTTTTAAACCTGTTGCTGCCCCTCCAGGAAGACTGGTTGTCCAGGGGTATTTACTCCTTGATATATCACTGCAGAATTAGAATATTTGGACCAGTATTTATTTGTTCTCAGTTGACATTCTTACCTTTTTTTATGTTTCACAGCTTAACTTGATTCAAGTTACCTATCATCAAATAACAACTTGATGATAAACAATCTCACCTTTACCATTAGAACCAAGAACTTTTAACAACATATCAGAAGTATTATTATGAACCTATGGACCAGTATACATTATTCTCATTATTGAATTCAGTGACTCCACAATCTACCATGTGACTGTTGAAAATAACACATCATCTATATGCACAACATTATTCACTTTTATGGAGGGCCTCAAACATTCAAGCATTTATGAAAGCGCCTTTTTATACCATAAGCAACACTCATATATTTTCGTAGCATGAACAAATGATAGTAGCTTCTTTTCATTTGTTTTCCTGTAGACTGTTGGAACACAAATATCAACAATACCTTGGAACAAATCAAACTAGGAGTTTAGGAACCAGATCTTAATTATTTAATGCTCAAAATAATATTCATATTTAAGAGGGTAAAATCAATAGTAAAGGTTTGAAATTTTCTAAGAATGTTACTCTATACTTGTGATGAAAAAAACTGAATGTTGTTCTTATTATTCAATTACAAATCTACATATTGTATACCTGAAGAGAGATAGAAATCATAAAAGACAGAATACCAGTTACAATAAATTGTAAAAGGAAGCTATTTTGCTCAAGAAATTTCTCTACCATATTTGCTATCAATTCTGGACTAAAAGATGCATTTTCTGAGATTTTTTTTACAATAAATATTTATAGTCATTTTCTGATTTTTGCATCGTGACTTTTTCACAATAAGGAGAGAAGAGAAATAAAGATTTTTGTTATCACAGAATAAAAACACACAGCTAAGAACAAGAGGAAACAACACATGAGGATTGCGTCATCTGTAATCACATCACGGGTACTATTTATAAGAGCTTTCAGTGTCTCAAAGGAGAGCCTGGTTGTCAAAAAGCTTCAGCTCAGACTTTAAAGTCAGTGAACATCAAAACTGAGATGGCTTATGCTGAGACTGCAAATCACAAAAATCCTTTTGTATTTTCTTGGGTTACATCGATTCCCACACTCCTGAAAACTAGAATAAGTGAGATGTCCTCCAGTAAGTGAAAATTCTCCAGAGATTTTTAAAGAGACCAGTTAAAATATGTGCAAGCTACATTCTATAAGAATAATATCAAACATGATATTACCAAATATATACAGATACTTAGAATAGTAAGCTGGTTTACAATAGTGCAAATCCCTTAATTGCCATCTCTTTAGATGAGTTTTTGCAGGATGTTCTATTTTTACATGGATTGTATCACAGACTCAACAGTCCCCTGACCTTATACATTCTCACTGTACTGTACACAAACTATCATTTCACTGACATGAATATTCCTTCAGTTAACAGCAAATCACAAGAAATAAAACATGTTGGCATAAGTCATCAGGCAGTCCCAACAAATAAAGCAGGGTAAATGCAGAAGGTAATGTCTTCCTCCCTGGCTTGCCTGGCTAAACCTCTTCTCCCTCCACCATCCTAGTCACAGCACTGATTATGTGTTTGGAATTTTGCATTGAAGACAATGATGAAATGCTGTTATTTAACTTTGGTCTACCCATGAGCTCTTGCAAGACATACCTTTCACCTCCAGCTTGCATTCGATCTCCACTGTCCCGAGGTCATTGACTGCCTTGCAGCAGTATGTACCTCCATCGTAGGGACTCGGCTTGCGAATCTCCAGAGTACACACTCCCTGGTTGCTGAACATCCTGTATCTTGGATCATCCACAATGGCAACTTTGTTTTTCATCCAGGTTATTTTGGGCTGCAATCAGCATGGAAGAAAGTTAGGTTAAAACTTGTCTGTACTTGGTTTATTAATAGACCACAAAGCCAGTGACAGAATTTTTAAAGCAGGGCTTGGAAAGAAAGCACCTCTAAGAAGAATAGACATTGGCTTAAGCGCTGTTTATGTCAAATAACATTCCACTTAGTACTTGCCAAGAAAGCATTTCTAAAGATTAGTTCTGAAGAGGAAAGCCAGACTTATTCAAGGGGCAGTTCCCAGGCAGATTTTTTCAAATGGATTCTGTTGCATTTCAGTTTGATCCACAGAGGTACAAATCACAAGATAACAGGTTCTGAGGAGCTAAGACATACAGCCTGCAAGGTGACAGATGTGTTCATCAATGTGGCTGTTCATTGCACAACATACGTGTGTGTGTGCATGTGTGTATCATCATGTTGTGTATATCTCAAACCTATACAATACCTGTCAGACATTTTTACAAAGTGGTCTATTAGTTCACGCTGTTAATTCATCCCAGAAGCATGTACATTGCTGGGCACATTCTAGAAAGTTCGCATGAAGTGTTATGGCCATCTGATTTTTCCACTTCTTTTTCCTGACATTCTCCTCTAGCTCTTTAACTCCCCATCACTTGGTCTCACCCTTTGGCTTCTGCGTTAGTCACCCAGGGACAATGAATCGAAAGGTCAGTGATGTCCCCCATCTCCCAGGAACCTGATTCCATTCTCTTTGGCCTCTGAACTATGCTCAACATCATTAGCCTTCCACGACCTTCTTCATTTTTCATGTCTCTTTCTTCCTTCATTACTCTATCTCTTATCATTTTGTCTTACTCAGAACCCAGAGATGGCAACTTTTCTTCTTTCTTCTTCCTTTCAAATGGGAGTGTTCCCCAAAGCTCACCCCTTTGCATCCATGATATTCCTTTCCAAGCTTTCGCTCCAAGGCGTGGAAGGCAGCGCTTTTGTGTTGGGGCTCCCAGACTGACAGCGGCACCCTTCCCACTTGAGTGGATCAGTATTGCTTCCATTTAAATGTTAAACTCTGGCTTCTTTTCCCCACTGTTTGCAATTTTTCCAAAGTCTAGGTTACTTTCCCTCAGTGTGTCTCTATTGGCAGCATTCATCTACTCATTATTCTGTTAAAATATCAATAACATGAAGCCTTCAAAGCTGTCTAACCCTCTTTAAATACACGCAGTCTCTCCCTTCTGAGCACTCTGTATCCTAGGGAACACGCATTTTCTATTTCGGGCTTTGGAACAACGTTGTGGCACAGCATGTTAAACTGCCACTCACAACAATGACATCCCATGTCAGAACGCTGGTTCAAGACCCAGTCTTTCTACTACCAATCCAGCTTCTTGCTAATGTGCACGGGAAGACAGCAGAAGGCTCGCGTACTTCAGCCCCTAGCACCAATGTGTGACACCAGGGGGAGTTCATGCCTCCTACTTTAAACGTGGAAAAGACCCAGCCATTGTGGCCATCAGAAGAGTGAACAAGTGGAGGCAAACTCTCTGTTTTCTCTCCCTCTGGGCCTCCCTTGTTACTCTGTCTGTCATATAAACAAATCTTTTTTAAAAGTATATTTTGCATTATGGCTTGCTTTACAGTATAGTTCCTACCTAATCTCTTCTAAAGCCCTTGATTCAACACTGAATTGTAATTTTCCAGGTGAAATCATCTGTATTAGTTAGATCTTACTTCTTAACTCTCAGGTGTTTTAAAAATAAAAGCGTTTCCTGGTATCAAAGAGAGATTGGTCCCAGGATCCCCACAGATGCCGGAATCAATGGACACCGAAGTCCCTTACATAGAAAGGGTGTAGCATTTGCGTATAACCTATGTTACCTCTCCCTGTACACTTCAAATCACCCCTGGGTTATTTATAACATCCAATGCAATGTACGTGCGATGTAGCTAGTTATTACACTGTACTGTTTCAGGAATAATGGCAAGAAGTCTACACAATAATGGACCATTTTTGTTTTCACTTCAATCCACAGGAATAGAACCACGATAGAGGGTTGATTGTAGGTAATTTGCTTATTCTTTAGAAAATATGCCACAGTTAGTAAATGAAACATAAGGTTGTTTTTTTTTTAATCACTGCATCTGAATACTAGATCTAACTATCCAACACCAGTGGCACTCTCCAATCTGCCTATCCCAGAAAGACACGCACAGCACTGGAAAGTTTGTGTTGCTTCCAACTGGCATGTGATAGCTAGTTTAAAAAGCCCTTTGGAATCCATTCTTAAATGTAATGAATGTGGTAGTGAGGCCTCACCTTAGGATTTCCTCTCACGCTGCAGTTCAAGGTGGCATTGTAACCAGCTATGGCATAAGTGTTAACCAAAGGCTGAGTAAACATAGGTGCCTCCGTGAAATCAAAGTCTTCATACACTGGGTTTTTGTAGATTTTACCTTAAAAAACATTAAAATATGTTAAAACATACATATTTTGCTTGAATGTCTCTGCCATTCATGTGGGAAACCTACATTGAATTTTTGGCTCTTAGCTTCAACCTGGTCCAACCCTGTTTGCGGGGAACTGAGCCAGTTGGCTATAACTGTCTCCTCTTCTTTGCTTCTCAAATAAATAAGTATTTTTAAAAAGCCTCACAGCTTAGTAAACAGTATAAAAGCATGAGTGAATGCCACATGGCATACAGTGTCAAGAGAACAAATGCATAGCCAATCACACAGGCAACAGAAAGCTAGAGTAGTCATCTGACACTAAAATAAATATTTGGAATACTTTGTTATCATCTTGAGTATTTTGTTGTGAAATATGTTCTGAGATGAATATCACAAGGAAGAACTTTAAGTTTGTGATTTATATTGAAATGAAAGTATACAGGTAGAATTAACCACCCACTTTCTTTGCAAAGTGGTTCTTGTGTATGGCTATACAGAAATCATCCAAGAAAGCAAGCAATTAAAACTCAAGAAGCAAAGGTTCAATTTATCCTATCCTTGTGACTTTAGCCATTTACAGATCCACAGCCCAAAAGTTGGAATGGAATAAAGTGAAAACTTCTAGAACATATAATTTCACTTGCATCATTTTACCTGTAAAATTAAAGTTCTACTTGAGTACCGTTACCACAAGTTTGCAATGTGTGGCCATCATGTCCCTGCTGCTTTGACACGTCTCTTCAGTCTTTTCTGTTGAGTCACCAAGGTTCCCAAACGTCAGTCCCTTTCCAACTCACCGTCCTTGGCAATGACCGCACTCTCCTTCGTCATTGTCGCGTCTTCACTGAGGCCACACATATTTTCAGCAAAGACCCGAAAGTAATACTCATTCCCTATGACCAGTTCAGTAATGGTGGCATTTGTTCGGTGATAATGTTCAATGACAGTGAACCACTCCTGAAAGAAAAAAAAAATAGGTGCTTCAGGAAAATTACCTGAAAATACACATCTTTCCCAACTGCTGAACTGCATAAAGAAGGCTAGTTCATTAACATAAAGAAAAACCAACATTCATGTTGATTTATGGAGAGTGATAACAATGTGTATTTAATGTGGTATTTCACAATTTATTTATCTTGGCTATGTAATCAAATCTTTACACATTACAGTCATATACCCTAAATATCATCTTTCATCTCTGTTTTCTTCATAATTATAAGTGGCTGTCATCTATTTATTACTGATCTATTTGCCAATTTGGAGGGGGGGAGACCATAGTCGGATTATTGAATTTTAGCATAATTTTTTCTTTTTTGACAACAGATGAAGCTAAATCACATATACTGAGAAGAACATTCATGGATGAGATGAATGGTAAAAATGTAAGTGAAAGATAGCCAGCACAGTCAAGATGAAACAATGGGTTGGTGATGCCCTGGGCAGAGCCCAGCTGGGGCAGTGCCCTCTGATCTCTAGGTCTGCTCCTGAAGAATGCAGTAGAAACACAGGATCACCTATCACCAAGCAGACCTCAGTCACAGGAAGCAGCAGGGAAGTCCCGGCCCACTGGGAGCTTGGCTGGGAATCTAAGAAGGCAACTGCTGTGCAAATACAGTGTGGGTGGAAGAAGAGGAAGGCTGTAGGAAAGACTTTGTTAAGAACGGTGCACCCCTGGATTCATGTCCCACGTCTGACTCAAGTTCCAGTGAAAGGTATTGGTTGCTCAGGAAGTCCAACAGGTTCAGATCATTTCCTTGCAAAGTTGTCAGTTGGTCCCGCCCTCAAGCGCTGCGGCTTGGACGAAAGATGTCAGCGCCAGATCTCATTTGGCCATTAATACCATGATAGAAACAGCTCACAGGAAGAAGAGGCTTCAATGCCTTCCTGCTACTTTAGATGCTCATTTCAAGTCATTTTCTTCTATAGTGTTGGGGATTGAACCATTATCTTTACATTTGATAAAAAAGTTCTCTGCAGAGCCACTGTGTCCATTTTTTTGCTCCTAAAAATGCAGTTAATGGTGATTGAGATGTCCCAAATACCCAATGATGAATCCAGGGATGATCAGGCTTCCGATTTACTGGCAAATGGGTCTCTGACTATGAAAATGAACTTTGGGAACAATTTCCAAGAACTTTTCTTTTTCTTTTCTGTATTATCAATTTACTGTGTTGTGGAGATTATGGAGCAAATAGAAATGGGATTTGATCAAACAGGAAATTAAAAAAAAATACTTGCCTTCTCAATTTCTCATCTTCTTCCACGAATCTGACTAATTTCATGAATGACCTAAGTGTAATTGTGTGAAGACCTCCATGAGTATATTTAGAATGGTATTTTACCTTTCCTAAGAGAATAGAAAATAGTTCTGTGCCACTGTATGCCCAATCATTTCTTTGTTTATTCACTCCGAATGACTGTGACTTTGAAATTTAAATTTGGTGGAGCTCCAGGAAGTTATTTTTCCATTCTGAGCCTCAACTTATTAATTCATAAAATACAAGTTATAATAATCGGTACCATAGCTGGGTTGCTTCTGGGACACTCTTTAAGCGCTTCCTCTTCTCAGGACCTTTGTATATACTAAAATTTTTTAGGATCTTTCTTTTCTAATTATTATCTTAAAAAAAAAACTTATTTGAAAGGAAGAATTTGAGAAAGAGAAAGAAAGATCTTCTATCCACTGATTTACACCCCGAATGGCCACAATGATCAGGACTAGGTTAGATCAAAGCCAGGAGCTTTTTCCACTTCTCCCGTGTGGATGCAGGGCCACAAGCACTTGGGTCATTCTCTTCTGCTTTCCCAGGCACATTAGCAGGGGGCTGGATCAGAAATGGAGCAGCCTGAACTCGAACCAATGCACCTATGGGATGCTGGTGTTCTAGGCAGTGATTTTTCCTATTACACCACTTTACCTAACCCTATATCTGTCCTTATCTTTTCAAAGATATATTAGATATAAGTCAACTCTATCCATTTATTATACAAGGATCAAGAATTGCTTTGATGTGAATCTTCGAATCTAGACTGACTGAACATTGGTTGAATTAATGCATTTATTCAATGCTATTAAATATGCTATCTGCTCTATGTCACTTTTTAGCTTTCTCATAACGAAGCAAAGTATATGTGTCCCTCTTTTGCAGAAGAGGGTAATGCAGATCAAAGAGCTTAAATGACTGGCAACCTGAGTACAGTCTAAGTGACAATGCCAAGATTTAAGACCAACCCTTCCCTGTATGTTATACCACCTCACTTCCTCATGTCCTTGACAAAGACGTGAAGATGGAGTGGACTTCATGCTGCCCCATTACATCACCTTGAATGAATGTGAGGGGCAGACCATACCATGCTCTTCTTGTCAGCCTTCTGGATCGTGTACCCCGTGATGGCAGCATTCCCATCATCCTTCGGTGGTGTCCATGTGAGAGCAACATTCTCTCCCCAGACATCCTCGATCTTCACAAGCTGGGGTGGACCTGGACGGTCTATAGGATAAATTCATGGTGTCACTGGGAGGCCACTTTCCCTCCCAGTCTCTACCCTGTTACAGCATGACATGAAAATTGCCCTTCCCCGAGTTACAGAAGATGGCTCTCTCCTACCCCCTTCGCCCACCTTCTGAAATCCTGAAATTTCCAATAGAACAAAGCCAGGCCAGATCCAAGGATACTGACTGGCCTCAACACTTCCTTTGCTTTAACAAACAAAAAAATTTTTTTTAAAGTTTAGCCAGCAAGAAAAAGAATACTTCACTTTAAAGGCGAAAAGGGGAAGCTAGTTACAGGAAATTATTCTTTTAGTTAGAAACTCAAGCTTCAGTATATTTGGTGAAATAAAATAATAAAAATGATTGGAAATAAGATTTTTCTAAGAAAATTCTTAAATTTCTTTCTTGACACTGCAAACACTACAAAACCGTCCAAGAAAGAAGGACCTACGTGTGACGGATCTTCCTTTTATCCCTCTAAGGACAAAACCAAGAAATGAGTTTATTGACTCATCATGTGTATCTAATCAGCCTTGAAGAATCAACCAATCCAGTGTCATTTACTTGACTTTGTTCAGGTTTACGTTCACAAGATTTAATAAAAATCCTTTATGCTCTACTATAACTTAGCTATTAGCAAATTTCAGGTGTAATGAGAAATGTGTTTAGCTCTATCTAGAATTTACTATGTTTTTAAATGCAAGAATTCACAGTGGGAAACAGTTTTATCATTGGGGAGTTGAGAAACTAAGAAAAAGAGAACTGCATTTTAAATAATACAGATGGATTTCACTAAAAAGTACTTGCATTAATTTTCATGAACATATGTGCTTTAAATCTCTCATGACTAGCTCCTTCAGTCAGTGAGAATTTATCTTAAAATGCTAATAAATACGAACAACCTAATAAAAATCTTTTAAAAAACGATTTTCCCAAGGATCAGCTTAACAAAAATTCCTACTCCTATGTTCATGACAAGCATAGTCAGTCCCCACAGGACTTGGGCAGAATGTTCCAGCTCCTTCCTCCAAACCCACCAACAATCTGGATGTCGATGGACGCGCTTTCCACGTATTTGTCCACTTTGACCTGCAGATCATATTTCCCAGAGTGACTCCTCTCTGCTTTTCGGATAAATATAATTGTATCAGTCTCAGAATTGCGAATGTTTATTTGATTCTTATCAATCTCTGCACCGTCCTTCTTCCAAGTTAGTTCTGGTCTTGGTTTTCCCTAAAAAAGAAAGGCAGAAAAAGCATGGAGGAGAAATCAGATTGTCTCAAGATATGTTTTCTTTTCAGTATCACAAGATTGTCAATGGCTTAACCCACTCAAGGCTAAGCTGGAAAGCATCCCTGATGCAGTCTCCGGGAGCGGGGGTGACTGCAGTAGCAGAGTTACGCATGTTGATTGCATTCTGTGTGCAAGTACAACATCGGGTCCGACATGGTCGTTAGCCCCTTAAACCTTCCCATCAAAGTGAGTAGTTTACCCAAGATCATGCAACTAAGTACTGGAATTGAACATTTCATTACTGAGTCTATCTACTCCAAAGTCTCCATAACACATGATCGTAAAATGGGCTTATGGAGTCATGGAACCCAGACTTGGCCTGACCACTTACTAGCTGTGTGACGCAGGACAAGTTACTTAAACTCTCAGGGCCTTGGTTTCCCACTCTGTAAATCAGAGCAATGGCAGTACCCCATTCACTGACTACAGTCTTGAGAAAGTTGCTACACAATACCTAATGTCATGTAATGTCAGAGCTCATTGCACTGTGGTACTCATTCTAGACTTATCTAGAATTCTCTCTCTGCTTTCTCAAGCTGCTGTCACTGTTCTTAATGAGAAGACTTTCAAAAATGATAACCTCATTTACAGACATGATTTCCATTTCTGCTACAAAGGAACCTTTTAGAATTCCTAGGCAACCAGGCTCACACCCACCTCTTCCCCACCCTAGCCTGAGACAGAAACCAAGCATTAGTTCAGCAACTCAATAGGTTATTCCTTACTCATACTCTCCCCATGTGACTTGTGCCCAAGCTGTTATAAGGGATGTGGACAAAGATACTAGAGCCCTGTTCACAGAGTTTGAAGAATTGTTGGGCATACTTAGACTTGCACGTTGGAAGCAGAATATAATATTGTTATAGATGTGGAAAAATAGATCCAGGTCTTTAAGTGTACAACTTTATTAGATATCAGCTGTGTACGTGTGTTTTGGGGGCTGAGGGATGGGCAGCAAACACATTCTATAGGAGTATGGAGAGAAAGTATTGCATTAATAGTAATAGGTGGCTAGTGGCTACCATTTCGTACAGTATGCATAAAGAACAGTCTCATCATTTTGGAAAGTTCTATTGAACAGAGGAATAAGGGGAGTTACATGACTAAGAGCAGGATGTGTTGATGTGTGCACATGAGACCAAAACCAACTATTCTGGTGTTTAGCTAATCCTATGAACAAGAGACTCTTGCTAGAGTAATAACAATGTTCACACATTTCAGTTAGTGGCATCTAAATTTCAAATTTTACATAACTCTCTTATGGGAATTTTATTTAGCCCAGGGTCACTTTGTGCACCAACCACATATTATTTCATTGGCCAAGACTAGATTTCATTCATGTCATGCAGAAGGGAAATCAATAGTCTGTTCAGCCATTCCTGAAATCCCTGCTGTTGGTCACCTATTCCCTGGATGGGGAATCTCTGCACTATGATGAACTTGAGTGCTAGAGGCCCTTCCTCTGCTCTTGAAACATCCAGCCCTGCAGAGAGAACGAGAGGCCCCTGAACTCTTACCTGGAAAGGGATAACCAGATTGACGGCTTCTCCAACTCTGCGGATGTAGGTTTGCTTCAGGTGCCTTGGGATGCGAATCTTCGGAGGCTCTGGGTGAGGTGAGAGTGCATAATTTATATGACCGGTATTGTATTGTGGAAAAAATCTTCCCTTAGCTTGAAGATACCTGTGCTTACTGGTGTGTACCTGTGGTCATGTCTCTACAACAGCAATCATAGAGGCTCCACTAATGGATCCACTAATGGATGATCTACGGCAACTTGGGTTCAACTTTTTTGTTGTTGTTGTTGTTGCCACAAGAGCTGTTTTGATGCAGCAAAAAATTTATCCTTGACCCTCTTTCCTTTATTACAACTTTACAGAAAAGCACCAGATTTTCCTCTTAGGACCTTCACCAAAGTTTCTGGCAGCAAGTATATTCCCCAAAGAGCATTCCAAAACAATCGAAAGGCGCCACTTTTCCTGGGAGGACTGCCAGGTAGATGATTCTGTTGGAGTTTGACAGGCGCTTTCTCCTGGTAAGGGCTGAGGGAAAGCATACACTGGGCAGTGCTAGGCCACTGTGTATTAACACTGATTAATGAAACTCCGTGAGGATGCTAGAACACCGTGCTGCAAAGCCGCCAGGTCACAGGGTTCACTGGCTGAAATGGGTTCACGGGGATGAAATGAGTCTTATTGCTGAGGAGTTCTTTTGGGGTAGACACTGGGCTAAACACTTTCCACAAATAATGTAAACTTGTCACTCTCTGCATGAAGTAGGTCCTGTTTTTACATCACAAGGAAACTGAAGCATGGGAGGAGTCAGGCTTCAGTGCATTGGTTAGAAGCACGGATATTGACAAGAGATCTGGCAATAAACAGTTCATAGAAGGGATCTCAGTCTTCTTTTGGGCAAAAAAAAGCTAGTGACCTCTTGATGTCATATAATTATTTAACTTCTTTTGCAGCAGAAGACATTAAAGCTTGGGAAGATTAAATCTCTTACCCAAGGTCAGATGGCTAATAAACTATAAACACAAGATTAAGCTGACAATTTCTCCAGAAAATACTAAGAAAATACGCATTCTACAGGCTTTCTTTTCTTTGCCTGATTTTTTTCCATTTTTAATTTTTAAAGTTTTAATGATGTTTACATAATTGATCAGGATAGGAAGGGTCAAGGATGCCACCATTGTTTTCAAATTTTCTTTTTCTTCCGCTGTATCGGGGGGAAGAAGAAAGAAAAGTGGGGAAGCCACCCCAACCATCTCAGTACCAGGGGATGGGGCATGGCCACCTGATATCATCTCAGGGTTCATTTTTTTAAAAAGGTTTATTCATTTTTCATTGAAAAGGCAGATGTACAGAAAGAAGGAGATACAGAAAGATACTCTCCATCTGCTGGTTCAGTCCCCAAGTGGCTGCAATGGCTGGAGCTGAGCCAATCTGAAGCCAGGAGCCAGGAGCCAGCCCTGGGTCTCCCATGTGGGTGCGGGGTCCCAAGGCCCTGGGCCATTCTTGACTGCTTTCCCAAGATACAAGCAGGGAGCTGGATGGGAAGTGGAGCAGCCAGAATATGAACTGCCACCAATAAGGGATCCTGGAGCATATAAGGCAAGGATTTAAGCCTCTAGACTACTGTACTGGGCCCCCTTCATTTCTTTTTTTTTTTTTTTTGGCACTCAGGAAACTTTTATGGGCTTGATGACTGTGTCCAAGGGCAGGGCTTGCTGGCAGGGGCTGGGAGACAGTAAGGTAGTCCCTGCATCAAAGAGGCCATCAGCACTGTTTGTTGTGCCCCAGACAGGAAGTTGTCACGGTACAGTGGGACAGGTGTCACAAAGTAAGGCAAGAGAGGTGCTTCTTTTATACATTCATATTTCTATCCCATGTAACTGTCAGTACCTGTATATCTATCTATCTCCCTATCTATTTATCATATCTATCCATCTATCATCTATCTATATTCCCATCCATATTTCTACATTTCTACCCATTCTGTAATTCATTTAATCAAATGTTCATTTATTTTTATTGAAAATATAGAATTACAGAGAGAGAAAAGGAGAGGAAGTGAGAGGAAGAACGAGAGTGGGTGGCAATGTCAGTTTCCGTCTTGCCTTTTCTGTTTCTGACTCAGCTCCCAGCTAAGGGTCCTGGGAAGGCACTCTCCAACCTCATGTGAATAATTGAATGGCTACTGGCTTTGACTGGTCAAGACCTGGTTGCTGTGGTCATTTGGGCAGATGGGAGATCTCTCTCTCTCATAAGCACTCTGCCTTTCAAGCAAGTAAATCTTAAAACAATGAATAAATAAGCTTTTCAGAAAAGTTTCCATTTCTTTGAAGATGGGCTGTAGTTCCTTAAAGGTTAGCTGTGATATGAAATCTGTAACCATCACAAAGACCTGTTTCAATCTGTTACAATAAAATCCTTTGGTCTAATTTGCATTTTCCCCATGCATTTTTTTTTTAAACATGCAGTGACCATTTAGAAAATGTTGCTCTTCTGAATTATTTCGTTTCTATGGGGAACCCCTCAACTGAATTGCTGCACTCAGAATTCCAACCATGGAGAAAATGACACATTCCATGGTCTGACTGTGGAATGCATAGGTTAGAGCTGTGCCTCCTCAGTGGCTTAGAGCAGTGGACAGCATATCCAGATGCACATGGAGGATGCAGCAGTCCATTGGAGCCTGCAGAGGACACCTGGTACCATAACAGAGGTTGGAGGCCAGAACAAATTGATCAACTACCCCAACAGCAGTGAATACCTGGACAAAAGGAGACTCTACGGTGGACTATGTCAACCAGTGGAGTCTGGAGAGATTTCATCGTGATTGGCGTGGCAAGTTTGGTGGTAATTTAGAACTGTTGAACTATCAAAACCACTTGAGCAGAACCCTCGAAGCATTCCCCACATTGGGGACCCTGGGATGGTTGAGAGGCTGGGTGTGGCTTCTCCCCTTATCTCTCCCTCCCCCCCAGATACAGAAAGGAAAAAAAAATGTCAAAGTAATGGTCTCATCCACTTTCCTCTAGCCCTGGACCCTTCGAACCCTAATCAAAAACAAAATTTATACAACCAAAACAAAAAAATTAATAATTTGAAAACTAAAAAAAGAATTTTCAAAAGTTGAGTCATTCTATTGTATAATATCAAACAATTTATATCAATGCCAATTTTATCACAAATGTTTTTAAGCATTAGAAAACTATTTAAGGCCATGGTTGTGGGTCCAAGTTTTCTAGAATTTCAATTTTTGCTTAAAAACAATGTTTTCATTGACAAATTGATAATAATATTGTAAATCATTTTTCTTGACGTGATAGTCATTCCCAATTCGTTTTCTAGAAAATGCCTCCAAATACCCACAGTGACTTGTTACATTTTGTGACTTGGTGACTCTTTCAAGTAATAACAGGGTTTAATAAAAAAATTCCCAGTGAGCCTCCCACTCAGTCACTGTTCCCTGTTTTTCTTGGGGGCTACCCATCGCACTTCGGTGTGTAGCATGAATGCTTCATGCATACTTTACCAATCATTATCACACGGAACTGTACTCATATATTCAATATGTAGAAAACACGTACTCAAGAAACAAGATTTAGTAAAACAAGCATTAAAATTTACTCTGAGGCAAAACCGGCTCTTATTTGACCTGTGAGGACCTGGTGATGAATGTAAGGATGGCTAGTACAGTTAAGTGGCACTGATTTGATTTGTGCTAAGAAACCAGCAGTTTTTACCCATCTTTGCTTTTATACTATCAATACAGAGGTCCAAACACTTAGAAGGACAGTAGTATCTGGTACAGGGGTTGAGATGCTGCACCTACATCCCATTTAGGACTGTCTGAGTTTGAGCTTGTTTCTTACTCCTTATAGCTCCTGGCCTCTGGCTTCAGTCTAGCCCATCCCTGGATGCTGCAGGCATTTGAGGGAGTGAACCAGTAGAAGGGACAATACCTGTCACTCTGTGTTTTTCAAATAAAATGAAAATAAATAAATGCTTGTTAAGAATGAAAGAAAACATTGAAAAGGATCATATTGTCATCGGGTCATTATGAAGATGATTTTGACCTTGAAATCCTTTTGAGCCATATTGCTGCCTAGGCATTGCTTGCTCTGCTGTGGGTCTACACCCTACCTGGTGTGACTTGGCCACCCAGCCAGAATTAGCTTTTGGAACTGATTGAACTTAACTATCTGGTCCTTAAAGCATCAAGCTAAAAACTCAAAGTTGACTTCCCACATTGCCTGGAAAGAATTGCTTTGTACATTTCTGACATCTGGAAAGTATGAATACAATATCAAAGGAGTGACAACAAAAATCATTTTGAGAAAGATCAGGTTAGAAAAATATCAAAACAGTGTTAACGTGGAGACCAACTTCGGAAGCCTTGCCACGTACCTATGATTTCCTTCACGAGAATGGGCTGAGAATAGTACTTGGGCTCGCTGGCACCTGCCGCATTCACAGCCTTCACACGCACAAAGATCTTCGCATCTGTGGGCAGACCCGTGATGGTGAACTTGGTCTTGTCGATCAGATCTGTGTTTGCCACGATCCAGTCCTCAGCTAAAATTGGTAAAAGAAACAGGAAAGAAGAGCGATGTTGAGTGATCAAATACATCTGAATCATCACAGTCAACTCAATGTGAGTATTACGTCTATTTTGATCTAGAATCAGATTATCTGTGTGGGCCCTTTTCATACACTTAAACAAAAAATGTCCTAAAATGAGTAGTGTAAACAGCAACAAGAATAAGCAGATTCCATTGTTTCTGGGGAAAAAAAAAAATCTTACTCAAAATGAGAGTATCCCAAAGAATAATAACTGTCCCAATGATTCTGTAGTAATTTTATTCCAATGTTGTTTTATAATGATTAATGTCATTATGGTTGTTAGCTAATTTTTTAACGTTTAGAGAAATAAGAAATACTGCTGTAAAGGAGAGACATTGACCTTCATAGTCACATGGCCTCTGGGTTTTATTGTGGGTGATTTCTTAGTGAAGAGCAAAAAGAATGTGACCAGGTCCCCCTGTGTTTATGAAGAAGTTTACAGCTCATGAGCTGATATTTCATAATGACTTGGAATACTTATTTTTTCTCATCCAAAAATCTGCTTTAAGTTTTGAGGCCAGTTGTGGCAGAGTATTTAAACTGCTACTCACAACATTTGCCATCCCATATTTGGTCTATCAGTTTGAGTACTGAGTAATCCACTTCTGATCCAGCTGGTAATGTGCTGGAAAATCAGCAGAATATAACCCAAATACTTGGGTCGCTGCCACCTATATGGGAGATGAAGATAAAGTTGTGGGTTCTTAACTTTCACCTGACTCAGCCCAGGCTATTACAGCCACTTGGGAAGTTAGCCAGTAGACGGAAGATTTCTCCTCTCTCTGTCTTTCCCTCTATTACTCTGCCTTTCAAGTAAATAAATGAAACTGAATGCTAAAAAGAAATAAGCTTTGGTAGTTTGGTCTGCAATATTGAGAACATTTAAATCCAGCATTTGGGCCTCACATGATTCAGCTTCTGAAAGCTAACATGCATTATATTCGCAGCACCCCATATCACTAACTCCCCAGCCTCCCCCAACTCTAGGTTTCCATCATGTATAAGAGCATGGGTGTGCTTCATCCGCCATCACCAACAGACCCAGAATTGTCATCACATAGTAGGAAAGTCCAAGAGCTTCACAGAATACTTTACCTGGCAGATCATACGCAGCCTCCCCATTTTCATCAGACTGTTTTGCTGATGCACCTTTGAGAATCCATCATTAAGATTAATTAAAGACACCCACTTTCACACAAGAAGAATATGGTATCAGTAGTGAGCATTCTCTGTTAGTAACGTATGCAAAGTATGCAAAGAAATTTGTCTTCAGAGCAGTGGTGAAAGAGACCAAGCAAGTTGGGGTTGTGGGCAGGGGAGCTCCTCAGGGAGGCACACCCTACTCTGGGCAGCCTGTGGGTCTTGTCTGATGACACATGCTACAGAGAAGAGGAGAAGAAGGAAGGCCTGGGCATCCCCAGCTGTGGGAAGAAAGAGACCAGGAGCAAACCAAGAGCCCGTAGGAAAGGGAGGGACGGATCTTGGAGTTCGCAAGGGAGCAACGCACAGGTGGGCAGTTCACCTTTGACCCTGTCTCTGCCAGCCCCACCTGGGGTGCCCACCCCAGAGTCTGGGAGCACACGCATTGTGATCAGGTCAGTCCTATCTTAAATAGGCTCTTGCTAGGAGTAAAAATGGAGACTGCCTCAACGGCTCAGGAGGCAGCCCTGGCTACTAAGCTCAAGAAGCCCATCTGAACTTGTCCAAGTGCCACAGTGCATATGGCTGCCTCGGAGAGTGGTCTTGGGTATACAGCACTGTTCTGAGAGGGTGACTTTCCTGGTGTTAGGAGAGGAGCAGGGGTGCAGGACATGCCAGAGGCTCCTTTTTAGAATGTTTGACTTCCATCTTCCAGCCCTACCCCAGTATCAACAAGGTGCAAGAAGCCAGAATATCGGGGCAGCTGGGGCAGTATGCAGGTAATTAAAAAAAAATTACATGAAACTTTGAAAAAGAGATGCATCTTTAACCAGATGACCCATTCAGGAGCCACTGTGTTGGTACTTTCATAATCAAGAGACCAGGGATGAGAGAGCAAAAACAAAAACAAAAAAACAGGAGATAAGAAAACACATATGAAAGAATGAAGAAAATTGGAAAAGATGAAAACGCCAAGAGAAAACAGGACAAAACAAGATTGGGGAGAACCAAAAATAGTGTATATGCTCACATTTAAATCACTTGTCATCAAGAGAAATGGAGAAAGAAAATGGTGTCGTGGAGATGGGGAAGGAATCAAGGCAGATATTTAACAAATGAGGACAACTTTTAAGAGAGCAAGAACGAACTGGAGTGAAGAAAGAAAACAAGGAAGAGTAAAATGCTGCAGGCATTAACAAAAAGAGAGAAAGTCAAAAACAACACACAATCTTATCAAAAAATTTTCTCGCAGAATAAAACCTGACATACCTCAAAAGCAACAAACACTACAGAAAATTAGTCTGGAGAACACAGCCATTAAAAAGAGAATGAAGACTACAGCAGCCACAGAAGCAAAACAGGAAAAGACCGCAAGAAGATAGACATAGTATCAAAGAACTTCCAAAGAAAGCTAATTCCAAAAACGTTACGTGACAAAAAATATACATAATAATGACTGTGTACATATACATATGTATATCCACACATACATATGTATCTACACAGATCACACACAGAATTATGTAAAATACACTTCGTTGTATTTTATCTAAGGTAACATCAAAATGACAGCCATCTATCATTTTGCTGTATCTTCTTACTTTTTAAACCTATCAGAAAAAAAAAGAGTAAAGAATTTGCTCTGTGTCATACATACACAAAAGGTAGGTGCTCAGTAGCCACATTACACACAAGATCGTTGACTGTGCAATACAAAACAGTCAACGTGTGCTGGTGATATTCATAGAGGGAAAACAGGGATCAGAGTACACTGTTCTCGTATTCTGAAGTGATCAAGAATTTACTTGTCCCATTAGTGACCTCACCCAGCCCATTCCCCACCACCTCTGTTGCATTAGCCCTGGCAAGTTGCTTTCAATATCCTCATTGGCTTTTGGTTAATGGCTTTCTAAACCCTGGAAAAATCAAGTGCAGCACTGTGAGTAGTACGTGTCAAAGGAATTCAGGGAGTCCAGGATGTGTCATCCTTTCTCTCTTCTTCCCTCCCAACCAGTGATAATCATTTCCATGGGTGCCCCAATCCAGGGTTCTAGAGTTTCTTCTTCCGTTTTTTCTTCATTAGAAGTTTCTTCTTCAGTGGTTTTCCTCCTGGAAGTGCGCTTGCAATCACGTGTCTGATTACCCAAATGTAGTCTGTACCTTTCCTTCCTTCACCTGGAGGACTCAGCTTAAAGGCTGGGGTCCAAAGAGATTTCTTTGAGCCTAAGTCTTGGGCTCTTCTTTGTGGAATAACAATAATCTTCTCCAGTGAGTTGCTTACCTACTGCTCTCAGGAGGACAATTTCATTCACACATTCTCAAAAGCTATCCTCTTTCAGTCATGACAAAAAGGAAACTGAGAAACACAGTAAGTTTACAGTTGCCCAAATTTGGGGGCTTTAGATCCATTATGGACCACATTCTCTTGTGTTCTTTTTTCTTTTCTTTTTTTTTTTCCTATTACTTTTACCAGTGGTCCTGGGGGGACAGTGCTTTTATTTCTCTTAACTTCCCCAATTTAAGTGGTCACATTGTTATAGTTCTAACCCTGAGATTAATTGTGGTCACACGTCGGTCCTATTTTTTATGCTTCCTGGGATTTACTGCGGCTTCCTTTAAGACTGAGATACTCTCAGTTTTCCCTTTTCTCCTTGCCCTTAAGAAGGTAGGAAATGAGCATCAGATAGCCAGACAAGTCATGTCTCATTATCTCCAAAATAGACTGCTATTTTGATTGCTAGCTTCTGCTTAGTAGAGTTTGTAGAATTCCCAACTTCTTCAACCTAAATAGCGTTTCCCTTTCTGTGGTACAATGCATTTCCACCAATTCAAGAAGTGAAAGTCCCCAAAGCGTGGTCAGAGCCCTTTCCTCAACCAGGTCTTAGTCCACTTGCTCAATCTGGCAGCCTTGCCAAAACATTTTTGAGATCCCAATTCATTAACATCAAGTGCCAAGGAAGAACCGCACTTTTCTTCATCTCAGAAGGATGGCATTTGTCTCAGCATCATTTTCAATAGAAAGATGATGAGTTTCCAAGAGAGACAAAAGATAAAGAGGACATATCTCACCTATTGATGATGGTATTCATTGCAATTACTGGTTGTACTTACTTCCTTCAAAGCAATACTCTAGCACATAGCCATCTAAACCTGCTGCACCAATCTGGTCTGGGGGACGCCACTTCATCGTGACACTTGTGTCGGTGACGGAGTCAACAGCCAGAAGGGTAGGAGGGCTAGTTACAGCTTAAAAGAGAGAAAGAAGAAACCATCAGCTACAGAGAACTGTGATAAAATGACCTACGATACAAACGAAGATAGACACAGAAGCCCCACATTGCCACAAAATTCAGCTGAGACTCTCTAAGAATAGCTGTGTGTGAGACACAGATCTGGTCATTATGAGACATACTATCACACTTTCTCCAATTTAGGAAGTTTGGGAGAGGGTGCTGGGAGGCCCATGGAGGTTGAAGAACTCAAGCTTTGTGATCGTTAATAACCTTGCATAAATTTCCCACAATTCTCTAATTTTAAATTCTTTCTCTTGAAAGATATCTCAGCACGGTAAAATAGTAATGATATCTTCTGTTGGTTGCCTTCACTGATCTGACTTTTTTGGATCAATATATAACACTGAAGGTGCAGTTGTAAAACAAAGAGACTAATTTCCAGATGTGCTTTATGAAATTGATCTCAATTTATTTTAGTTACACAATAATATTTACACCATGGCCAAGGTTATCACTCAGAACGGCAACTGAAAGAGGCCATGTATCAAAGGAGTACGTAACATGTTTCCTGTGGGGCACTGTAACAGCTGACACTGGAATTTTGGTAATGAAGTCAGGCTCTACTATGTAGACAAATACCCAAATGCCCACAGCAATTAGGGGATAGATCAGGCAGGAACCAGGAACCTGGAATTCAGTCTAGGTCTCCCATGTAGGTTGGAGGTCCCAAGTACTCAAGACATCACCTGTTGCCTCCCAGGATTTCACTACCAGGCGATGATACTAGAAGTGGGGCCAGCGCTTGAATCCAGGCCCTCTGACAAAGCAGTGTCTTTACCATTACACTAAACAGCCACCCAGCTTTTTACTGCTCAGACAGAAAAGTATTGCCAAATACATCCAACCACTCCAAGAAATCCCCAGCTCTGCCCCAGTTAGAGGCTAGCAGGAAAGCAGTCTTATGACACTGATTCCCATCACACATCTCTCTTGACTCACCCAAAGGCACAAACGGCTTGGAGGGCATACTGGGCTTGGAGATGCCAATGGCATTGACTGCAAAGATGCGGACCTCGTAGGCCACCCCTTCAATCATCTTCTTAGGCTCAAATGTGGTTTCTTTGCAGAGATCAAAATTCAATCTCATCCACCTGGAACTTTGCTTCTTTTTCCTCTCAATAAAGTATCCTGCAGGAGTACAAATCAGAAACCAGGGTTTTTTTTCTTGGTCTCCACCATTAAGCTTTGTCAGATATTAGAAGCTGTTGAAGTTTTGCCTATAATCAATATTTTAAGTGAAATAGGTATATATGTATGTCTTTTTAACCCATTTCATTTTATCGGGTATTTGAGAGAAGAATTCAATTATTAACATAATAAAAATTATGACAAAAATAAAATTAAACAATAGGAGGAAATTGCAAAACTGCACTAGAAAGGGGAAAAACATAGGTCAAAGATGTGTAGGTGGTGGTGACTGAGTCACTATGGTTAAGCAATAAAGTTGGTACCAAGGTTCTCAGCTCTGAGTCTCAGAAATGAAGATAATGAGGAAATGCTGAGTTTCCTGTCTCAATAACATAGAGAAAAAGCGTATGTTCCACGAGGGAAGCAAATTATTTTTTCCTTTTCTTTCTTTCTTAAAAAAAAGATTTATTTATTTTAATTGCAAAGGCAGATTTACAGAGAGAAGGAGAGAAAGAGAGGAAGATCTTCTGTCCATTGGCTCAATCCCTAAGTGGCCCCCACAGCCAGGGCTGAGCTGATTCAAAACCAAGAGCCAGGGGCTTCTTCTGGGTCTGCCATGTGAGTACAGCATCCCAAGGCTCTCGGCCATCCTTGATTGCTTTCCCAGGCCACAAGCAGGGGCTGGATGGGAAGTGGAGCAGCTAGGGAATGAACTGGCATGCATATGGGATTCCAGTGCACGCAGGTAGAGGATTAGCAAACTGAGCCACTGTGCTGGGTCTGAAGCAAATTCTTTTACACATTTAACTCCGAAAGAAATGTTCTCAAAGACATAATTCTATGTAACTGGACATTTGGTAATTAGAACAGTGGAAGTTAAACTTACAGTTGTTTCAAAATTAGATTATGGAATATAAAAATCAAAAAAAGAAAGTCTCAGGTCATTATAGAACATTCCAAAGCACGAGTATACTTCTGTTTGCATTTTAAAAGTCATAGTATAAAAGATTCCATTTCAACACAGTATGCTTTCAATGCACCCTGCACTTATTTGCACAAAGAGGACATAACCAACACTGGTAGTTACAAAGTCATCAAAAGGCCGTCACCTAAGATTGGAGAGCCTCCATCGTAGACAGGAGGTTCCCAGTTCATGATACACCAGTCATCACCCACTTCTGTGACATTTGGAGCCACTGGAGGATCAGGGATGTCTATAGCAGAAAAAAGGTGGGATAAAATGAAAACAAAGCGAAGAAAGGGTACAATGAAAAACACTCATAGGGAAATCTGCACTTTGGTGATACGCTCAGAAACTGTTATTCTTGAATTCTTCATGTTTACTGAAGCTCATTTATTAACTGGTTAGAGTAAAAATGTCTTGTGCAAAATTAGATAAAAGAAAGAGTGTAAACTACACTAAAAATAATCATGTCTTCAAATCCCTTAAACCCATGTCATATTAGAGAATAAGCTCCACACGGAACCCAACACTCTTGTTCTTTACTTTGAAAATAGTAACTAAGAAATTGTTGCTTAAATGTCAGATATGGTCATTGCTGAACGACCTTCCAGCAGAAGGGAGTGAAGGACTAATTAATGATGAGAATTTTACAAGGGTAGGAAGGTTTAAGATGTTGATTATTAGAAATCCAGGTCAGAAATGCTAAACCATCTTGTTTTGTAACGATAGTTCAGTTCTTGATAAGATGACTTTAGTGTTTGGTTAATTTGAAATATGTCTCTTAAGGTAAGACTAAAGTGAGCAGAGGAGACTATGAGACCTTGGGACAACAATCCACAGACTCATTTTACGTGGTTCTAGCCTGAGGAAAAACGCACTTATATAGTTGTCTATGGACCAAGGCAGGAATTACACTTCAACAATGACTGTGATGTGTGATGTTATTTAGCATTTGACTTTCAGAAGGTGATTTCTGAGAGCTAATGATCAGCACCCAAAATGTTTCAAAGAGATGTCCAAGATGTCCTCTAAGCAAGAGAGAGAGAGAGAGAGAGAGAGAGAGAGAGAGAGAGAGAGAGAGAGAGAGAGACCAGGAGGAAAGGAAAGGGGAAAGGGAAGCAGAAGGGAAAGGAGGGGAAGAGAAAGGAGAGGAAGAGGAGGGAAGGGAAGACGATGTCAGGTAAGTGCCAAAGGTAGAAAGAGAAGTGGTACTGTCTGACACACAGCTATGGTGTGGGGTTTTGTTTTGCTGGGTGGTTTGGTATAGTTGTCTGCCCAGAAAAAAACCAAGGCAACTAACCCCTGAGAAAATCTCCTCACTGTGTGGGCATGTCCACTCGGATCCCAAAGCTTGTTGCCCCTGGAGGACTTACCCACAACTTTAATCTTAATGCTGGCATGTGCCTCTCCGGCTTCATTTTTCAGATTTATGTGGTAAACTCCAGAATCTTCTCTTTCAGCTGCATCAATGATCAGACTGCTGCTATCGGGATAAGATTCTGCCCTTATCCGCCCGCTGCCCTCCATAATAGCCTAAGAAGGTTAAAACAAAACAAAAACAAAATCATGGCATAGGGCCCAGCGTGATAGTGTAATGGTTAAGGTCCTCGCCTTGAATGCACCAGGATCCCATATGGGCGCCGGTTCTAATCCCGACAGCTCCACTTCCCATCCAGCTCCCTGCTTGTGGCCAGAGAAAACAGTCGAGGACGGCCCAAAGCCTTGGGATCCTGCACCCACGTGGGAGACCCAGAAAGAAGTTCCTGGCTCCTCGCTTCGGATTGGCTCAGCTCCAGCCTTTGCGGCCACTTGGGGAGTGAATCATCAGACAAGAGATCTTCCTGTCTGTCTCTCCTCCTCTCTGTACATCTGCCTTTCCAATAAAACTTAAAAAAAAAAAATCAAAAACATGGCATAACCAAATCAAGCAAGAGCTGCTTCAGGAGCACCCACTGTTGCATTAGATGAGGTGTTAATGCCTAAAACACATTGCCTTCTGTGACTCCACCAAGGCCAATGACAAAGGCATTCTTATCTATTCTACTTAGGAGAAAGTTGAAATTCAACTTGCTCCAGGCCACAAAGCTTGAAGTTAACAATTCTGGCCTCTGGCTAGACAATTCATTAAGAGAAAGTTGGATTGAGAACACAGGCACTGAGGTGTCTTTCCATGAGACAGGTGCTTGTGTATGAAATTAGAAAACTTCAGATCAGAAACTAAAGAATAATAACTTGTTCATTTCCTTAGATGTCTTCAAATTTTCTAATCAATGAAAAGGTAGAAGGAGCTGAAGGCCAATTATTCAATCAGGTTAATTCCATGAGATCAGAAAATATACCTGGCATGATCTGAATTCTGTAGATGTCAATCAGTTCAAGAAGGCTAACAGTATTTTTGAAGTTTTCTATATTCTTATTGTTTTTCTGCCTCTCTGTTGTATAAACTATTGAGAAAAGAGCTCTAAACTCTGACATTTACCTATTTCTCTTTGCATTTCCATCCTATTGTTATTTGTTTATAACTTGTCCCATTTGTTCTCTGTGCTTCTTTTTCTATCTCCTTTTGAATTAATTAAATGTTCTATAGTTTTATTTCCTTTGCTGAGTTGTTATTTGTTTCACTATTTTAGTGGCTTCTTCAAGGTTAATGATAAGCGTCTTCAATATTGCATGATCTATTACCAAGTGCCATTTTACTATTTCATGTGTAACAAAAGAAACTTATAACAGAATGTTTCATTTCACTGTCATAATTCTTATGTCTATTTGTCTCTTCTTGACTTTGTTTTGTTGTCATAATTTTTTCTTATATTTATGTTATAAGCCCTACACTGCATTGTCATGTGTGATTAGACAATTATCTAAAAGCATACAAATGGGAAAAATAACAAGAAATATTTTGAATATTTATTTATTTAGAGAGAGAGAATCTATCCCACATGATTTACCTCACCACGGCTGCACTGCTCAGTGCTGAGCCTGCCCAAAGCCAGGAGCTTGGAGTTTCATCTGAGTCTCCCATATGGGTGCAGGGGTATTCCAGATGCTTGGGCCACCTTCTGCTGCTTTTTTCAGGACATTAACAGGGAGCTGGATCAGAAGTGGAACAGCCAGGATTTGAACTAGTGCCCATATGGAATGTTAGGATCACAGGTGATAGTTTTACCCCATGTTCCACAGTGCTGACACCCAGAAGGAATTTTACATGTGTATGTGGTCACTGCTTCTGGTGCTCCTGGTGGAAATATTTCCATGTGGAATCATTTTACTTCTGACTTGAGGACTTGACATTTTTCATCATATAGGTCTGCTGGTAATGAATTCTTTCCGCTTTTGAGTATGTCAAAATCATTTTTATTTGCCTTTATTTCTTAAAATTATCCCTAGTGTGTGCATCTAGAGACTGACATTTTCCTTCAATACTAAAGATGCTAGCACACTGCTTCTCCCTGTTTTCTTCTCTACTGAATGTGACTCTTTCCTCCATCTGCTTTTATTACTTTTGCTTTATCTCTTGTTTTGAGAAACTGAATTATTATGAGCCCTGCTATAGTTTTCTTAGTGCTTCTTATATTCAGTTTTATTGAGGGATCTTTTTTAAAATATCCATGAGTTTAGAGCTTTTATCAGATTTAGAAAATATGAGGGGCATTACTATTTAAATGTTTAGTTCTGTCTCACTCTTTGGGGACCCCAATTCTATATCCTCTTTGGGAACACGTACTAGTATTTAAATTTCTCCATGGCTAAAAGATATTTTTAATGAGATACTAATCCCACATCTATCTACCCTCAAAAGACAGAAGCGAAGGAAACACTCATTCCCTATTCCAAACACTATTTCCTGCTGTTCTGCTTCCAAGCCAGCTCTCTGCTAATGCTTCTGAGAAAGCAGTAGTCAGGGTCCAAGAACTTGAGTCCCTGTCATCCACGCAGGAGATCTGGACCGAGTTCACGGCTCCTGATTTAAGTCAGTCCCAGCCTTGACCACTGAAGCCATTTAGGGGAGTGAATCAGCATATGAAAAATTTCTCCTCTCTTTGTGTCATCTTTCAATTAAATAAATAAAATTAATTTAAAAAAATCTTTTAACATCCTTGATTGTTCATTGTAATAACATGTGTGAGATTTGGGTTAGCTTTGATTGACTTTTCCCCCGGTTTAGGTTGTGTTTCTCTGCTTACTTCCCTGCCTTGATGGGTTGGATGGCAGCTAATGTAAATTTTATATACCTGACTGCCTGATATTTTTGTTTTCTTTTCTAAATAAAAGTTAAGCTTTGCATTACAATGCAGTTAATTAACTCAGACACTGTCCTTGTAGGACTGTGTTTATGATTTTTTCAGCTGGCCCACAACAGCGTGCAGTGCAGCAGGCATTGCTCCCACACACAGGCAAGGCCTTCCCGAGGACTCAGTGCACTCAGTGGTCTATGAATAATGAGGGTTTTCAAGCCTGGCAAGGAGGAAGCAACAACTTCTGGTCCATGGTCTGTGTGGGTGCCGGTCCTCTTCTCCTTGATCCTATGACACGTCCTTTGTCCAGTCTCGGGTAGTTTGCTCAGGAATGTCTGCTGAATGTGTGAGAGGGAGCGTCAGCAAGGCTGCAGGGCTCTCTCTGTGTGGCTCTCCAGTGTGTGTCCTAATTCAAAAGTCAGTGAGTCCACGGGGCTCTGTCCAGGTTTCTCTTCCTTCTGCCACTGCCTGGGAACTCTCATGTCTGTGAACTGGGGTCATGATAGGATCTATCTCATTTGTTCACCACATTTCAGGCTCACTTTCTCTCACGATGTCTAGTGTCTTCAAAACCATAATTCATGTATTTTGCTGGTTTGTAGGGAATTTCATGTGAGTGAGTAAATCCAGCTCCGGTGACACAGTTCGGGTTGGAATACGAGTCTCATGCCCTGCTCTTCAAGTGTGGACCAGAGGAAGCCTCAGGATCACCTTGGCCTGGCCCCGCTCTCCACACCAGCCTTTTAAGGTTCTTTTTCCTCTTCACTTACTCTGGCTCAGCCACTGGGCTTTCTTTCTGTCCTTCCAACATATTAATCTTACTCTGGGCCTGAGTACCTGACTACAACCAGAGGCTGTTACTGACTATATGGCCACTTTCCATGATATTACTCTATACTTTTCTTCCTAGTGTTTGGCACTGTCCCAAGGATTTTGTTCCTTTATGTCATAATTCATTGCCTGCCATGACACCCATTAGAATGAAAGATGGGAAAATGTGCAAAAAAGATAAGCTCGGCCACGCAGTAGGTAATCAGAAATATGAACGTTAATGACCAATGATTAGATTGGCCTGAAAACTAGTCATCTTGCCTTCTTAAAGGAATTATATCTGCACTGTGTCCTTTGATATGTGGTGGCCTTCTCCCTTCCGTTGACTCATGGCAGGCAGACAGCATGATGGGCTGGATGTGTGTGTGTGAGAGGAGCTCACAAAGTCTGTAGGAAAATGGGGTTAAAGGTCAATTTACTTTGCTGCGAAAAAGTGTTTTGCAATTTAAGCAGAATTTTAAAAAAATAATATGCATTTTACATGAGCTTTTGAGTCCCGTGTGGTGTGTGTGTGTGTGTTATATGTACATTTGTGAATATACATGCACATGTGGAACCAACCTTATCTGCCCGGCTCCAAATAGCTTTAGGAGGTGGCTCTCCTGTGATAGGAATCTCGAGACGAAGCTTATTTCCTGCGATCACTGTCACTGTATTATCAGCATCCAGGCCATCCAGGATGATCTTAGGAGGATCTGGAATATTAAGCATATCAGTTATTTCCATGGGAATGTTTCACCTAGTACTAAGCCTAAAATTTGGGGTGCCAACCAATGTTGTATCTGACCAAAAAAAATTTAAGAAAGATGGACATAGCTGGTGACTGGGACCTTGTAAAGTTATTTTATTCTAAGATTTGAGAAGCAACTTTTTATGATTAGTGATTAATATCAATTAATGTAATTTTTCTCTAAATGGCTTGAACATATTACAACCCCAGGATAAGAAAAGTGAACAAAAATGCAACTCTGTAATGATCGATGATCGGTTGTATCTACTTACCAATAACATGAACTTTGGCAGGCAAAGTAATATTATAGGCATCTGGTGTAAATACATAATCACCTTCATCTTCAATGAGAGCACTGGCTATGACTAACTTGTGGATTCTGGAGAAAGAAGAGAAAAATATCTCTACAACTGTACAAAGATTTAGATCATCTAAGACTCAAACTGCAAAGACACCTGGTCTTGGTCTGGTTAACTTCTTTAGCTCAGTCTAGGAAGAAAGAGAGGAGGAGGGAAGGGAGAGAAACGTGAAGACTTCATTATCTTCTTTATTGACCCAAATTGGATCTCATGTTTGGATGACGCAGAAACTCCTCATAAACGCAACTTGCTTCTTATGCCATCTAGGAAGAGGGAAAGTGGCAATGGAACCCACCTTCACCGTGGCCCACCCAGCTTGCTCACCTCCCTTTGTGAACAACCTTCAGCCGATCACTCTCCTGAACAGGTAGACCGTTTTTAGTCCATTTTCCGGTTATGTTTTCAGAGACTTCACATTTCAAGCAGATTTCTTTTCCAAGTTTTACAGTCTGATCAGTCAGAGGTGTCAAGATCTTCAGAGGTTTCACTAGAGAGGTAACAGACCGTCACAAATGCCAAACCCAGACTCCAAAAGAGCTGTAGTGTGGCATTTCGCAGTGGCACAAGCAGCTCAGCTGTAGCACCTGATTTCAAGGTGAGGATTTGTGAGGCCGACATTGGCATCTCCCATGGGCACCAGTTTGTGTGCTGGATGATCCACTTCCGACCCTGCTCCCTAGCAATGATCTGGGGAAAGGCAGCAGGAGCTGGCCCAGGTGCTTGAGTCTCTGTCACCTGGAGACCAAGAAGAAGCTCCTGGCTCCTGACTTCACATGGCCCAACCGCAGTCATTGTGGCCATCTGTGAAGTGAATCAGTGGATGGAAGTGTTCTCTCTCTCTCTGTGTGTAACTCTTCCAAATAAATAAAAATATTTAGTAAAAATGAGAGTTTGTTCCAATGCAAATGGCTACAATAGAGAATAAATGAAATGTAATACACACTGCTTGCTTGATGAGCCATGGTCTCATTCCTGAGAAAAACTGAGTGCAAAGTGCATCAGACTAAGCTGATCTGGATGTTAAGATGCAAACTGCACACACGCACGCCTCACAAGCTGATCAACAAGTGCTGACAGTTTACCTACGGGATAGGAGTCACAATCACATCAATTTTTTTCAAAGAAAAGTGAACATTTACTATAGTACTTCTTACATATAATGTGTGGAAACCTTTGCTCTTATTTTTAAAATTAGGCTTTACTTTATTAATGTGCTACTGGTAAACTTCGTGCATGTTATGCCTATAATCCAATTTCTCCTATAAATCCTGCGGTTTTTTTTTTTAATGACTTTGTACTAATGATTTTAGAAAGATGTCATCTGCATTATAGTAGACCTGACTAAAACTGTTCAAGTACATAGAAATATCAGGTAAGGATCTGCCTATGCTTGAAAAATGCTTTGATATTAAACTAAAATGGCAAACGGCCTCTGACAGTGCTCTCCATTGCCCACCCTGGGTTTGAAGGACTTCTTAACCCCAACGTAATGGCAGAATATTGAGTGTTTATTTAAGGAATAATTCTACTTTTGGGATTTAGTGAATCTAAGTATGTGCCGTCTGGATATATGGCCTCTAGTTACAACCATTTGGGTAACGTTTCTAGCAGGTAACTTTTGGGTACGTTCTCAGTATCAGTGTTTTACTGTTCTTTTTCCTCAGCGATCCTGATTCATCTCACACAGACACTCAGCTAGAATGGAATCCAGCTAACGAGTTTCCAATTTATAACCAGTACAAAGGAAAAGACATTGGAATTTTTCTAAGTCAGCTGACATAATGAACAAGCATAATGAGTAAGCCAGTGTAACGGCGTCCCAAGGGTTACTTACAGTCAACACTGAGCTTAGCGGATGACTGGCCTCCAGTTGTCATGACCGAATATTCTGCAGTATCAGCCTTCGTGGCTCCTTCGATGACCAGAATGTGTTTTTTACCTTCAACTCTAATTTTGTATCTTGACTTTGGACCAGGGAAGATTTCCTCACCATTCTTAAACCTGAGTTAAAATAGATTACAAAACAGCGTTAGAAAACATTCTTGAGGAAATAACATCCATTGGCCTTGCTGATTGCTGCAGTCCAGTCCTTTTCAGAGTTTCTGGCACTTACCAGCCACACAAGAACAATTTTTTTTTAAGTTAACGAAAGTATGTTTTGCAATGTCAGTGGATTCATACTACAACAAGGATTGCCTACAACATTATTTGAAAAGAACTTGAATCTTCTCTTGTCATTCAAGACCACTCAGAAGCAGATACTCAGAGCGGACATCAGCCACACCTGAGCTCAGAACCCACTTTACACACAGTTGTGACTTTAGATAAACTTGAACAACCTACCCCAATGACTGGAGATTCCTGATGTATAACTTACTATGCTTCTGAAAAGAGCATGGCACTTAAGATTTTTAATCTTTTACTTCTTAAGGTTGATGTTACTCACAAGAAACCCAAAAACACTCCCAGTCTTACCAAACCAAACAAAAACAAAAACCCAGTTTGCATTTTTTTTTAAAGGAATTGGTGATTCTGGTAATTTGCAACTTAACATGCTTTTGTGGGATACTGTAACTGTATTAGAAGTGGGGAGGATTGACCTGAAAACTTACGTATGTGCTTTCCATGTTTTGCCTGTTTGGTGTAATGACAGGGAGAGGGACAGCTCTTGTGGGCTTTGGAGTTAAACAGACAAGAGGGGCCCGTGTTTCCATTTATTAGAAAGTGCCTATCTCACTGCACCAGGGCCAGTATAGGTTTTTGTATTATTTTTCAGTCAAAATGAAACAAATCCATGACAACAAAAAAATCAATATCTTAACATAGTTTTAGTTTCTCATCACTACGAACACAAGTGAGGCTGAGATTCTTACCCAAAGTTTAAAAGCTGTGTTTCCTGTGCTGTCAACTATAAAGGTACCTTTGTCTATTAGAAGTGAACAAACCCCGGAAAAGTGATTTACCATTTGACATTAGCGTCATCCTCAGACACCTCACATTCTAACTCCACTTTCTCCCCGCAGTACGCATTCGTGTCTTCCAGCTGTTTAGTCACCAGAATGGGAGGCTCTAGGATGAAGAAAGAGAGAATGAGAACCGTTGAATAGCCAAAGCCGACCTTCGGAGCCCTGATTGATCACAGGTAAAAATGGGACACTGAAGAAGTCACTGCTGTGGTTCAAGGGGTGGAAACACCAGCCGAGTCTTTTCAAATGTTTCTTCTCGGCGAAACTAAAAGCTGACAATCCTGGGTTTTGCTTTTGAGATTCCGTTCAGCAAGTAGGAGACCTGGTGGTAGAGGGTTTGAATGGGAATTGACACAGAAAGTCTCTGATTGGTTGAAGATTCCAGCTGTGTCTCCACCCAGAGAATCTCAGAACAAAAATCAGGGATCATGACACCTGCTCCGCCCCCAGCTCCTTGGTAAATGATGCACTTTGGTGCCACTTTTTGAAACAGGATGGTTTTGAGGAAAATTCCATGGTGATCAGGCGAGTGTGTGAGACAAGGCATACTCAGTAAATCGATGTATTTCAAAAGCTACTTGTAGAACGGTTGCTTTGCAGAATACTGCTTGTCTTGAGTCAAAACCACAAGATCATTGTGCTAAGAAATTGTTTTGTTCCCTTTGGCTTCCACAAACCTAGAGACTACAGGAGTTCAGTGGAGGGGATCCTGGGCTCATCCAGGCTAATGGGTCAGCCAGGTCATTTCCTCAGGTGTTATTAGCTCTGCTGGGAATCGCTCACCTCATCACTTCGGTTTTAATCATTACCCTGGAGCAGGGAAGCCCTTGGCGCTTGGTGACTATGGTGAGACATCTCACTCACCTCTGACGAAGAGCTCCGTGGAACACTTCTCATCGCCAGCTGTCACGTAATATTCTGAGTCGTCCGTCAGTGAACAGTTGTTGATAAACATGATTCGTTCACATCCTTTGTGTTCAAAGATGTATCTGTTTTAAATAGGAGGAAGATGACAAATGAAGTCTATGAATTTGATTGTATTATCTTCTTTAAGAACCTCTGGAAGTCAGCAGTGTCATCTTGATCTATCATTTATGTAGTAACCTTAAAAGATCCACACTTACAATATGTAACATATATATATATTTACATACACTGGATAATTTCTGCTTTTCTCACATAAAGATTTTACTTCAAATATAATTCAGTGATTACATAGTTTCCCCCTTAACTGTTTAACCACTGCTAGAAAACAGGGTTGGCTAAGGGTGTCAGAGAGATTTGATATCTGAATATACTTTATCAATTCATGTATGTCACAGGTGGGTGGAAACTTGATGCAACCCATTGGCATATATTCCATTTATTGTCTATCCCAGGGACACAGTAGGCTTTATCGAATGGGCAAAAACTCGTGTAATTTAAGTAATAATTTAGCCTTACTTACTAGTAAGTAATTCTATAGAATGTGGTATTCTCTTAAGGGAATCTAATAACTGGTTCTGCCATATCACAGTTACCATCTAACAAAAAGAACTCAAGGATTTGGAAAAGAAAACTAGACGGCAAGAAAATAAGAACAGTTTATTCTTTATGACCTGGAGAAGTACGTAAAAGTATTAGAATAGACTAGGCTAGAAAACAAAAGAATCAGGTTTGGCAATTTCTCAAACTGAACACTTCAAAGACAAAACATTAGGCAGCATTTCTAGGTAAAGAGAATGGAGTAAAACGGTGGATTGGGGAAACTGAGGCCCTCTTCAAGAGGTTTTTACACCAGGACTAAACATCAGTTTCACAAAGTCACTCTGCTGGCCTGGTCACATGAAGAAACTGGAAACCGTCTAATCGTATTCCAGAAGTGACAGATTTCCAGGATTAAAGTCTTTTATAAACGTACATGTGGCTTAAAAAAATAGAGTGGAGTTGAAAAGCTCTCTGATTGAGAAGGATTTCTGTAAAGTAGGTTCATAATAGCCTAGAGATAGCATCGGACACCCGGGATTAGCTGGCCTCTTTCATCTGGGAGAACGAACAAAACACAGGCTTAGATCCCTGTGACCTCAGACCTCAGCAGTCACTAGTTCTATTCAGATGCGCTATTACAAGCACTCCAGACAGTGCCTGAATTGAACACGGAAAGTATTTGCTTATTATGGATATAGATATTACTGTGGGGGTGGGGAAAAGTCATCGAATTAAAAGGTTTGAGTCCCAACCAGTATGTAAAAGACATATTTAAAAATCTTAGAAAATTTGATCTTTAAGAAATGAGAAGTTTGGCAATGCTCTGAAATTAGTACCTAAAACCTGTGGTGCCACAAAACCACCACTGAGAATCATTTGAAATGGTTTATAGAACTAAATATAAAACAAGTCTTAGTTTATATACCACTAAATTTAATGGCTCCAAAATATATTTAAAAAAAAGTGACTTAAATTCTCCCTCTCTCTCCATGAGATAGAACTAAAAATAAAATGTTCAGAAACTTAAGTCAAATTATTGTTTATCACTGATTATTTACAAAGCTCACTTACTTTGTACTGGGTCGAATTTCTTGACCATTTTTATACCATTTCACCTCCAACTTTGGATCTGCCAATTCCACAACAAACCTCACTCTGCCTCCTTTATCAACCTGATATGCAGGATCCAGAATTTTTGCAAAAGCTGGTGCATAGAAGTAAAAGTGAAACATTAGTATGTGTCCATGTGTTATGAGTTTAAATAGGGCATGGTTGAGAACCTAAAACAAATGGAAAAAAAGTCTCTGAGAAGAAAAAACAAGGGTGGGATTTCAGAATTCCAGAATCATTTATAAACAATAACATGATCTAAAAACTTAGAGAATCCACAGATTTTCAAAAGAAGCATAAAAGTGTAACAAACTTTTAAATTGATCTAATTTTTAGAATCTGTGTTAAAAGCACTTGAATGAAACTGTACTTTAAGAATACTGCAGATTGGCCTGGGGCGATAGCCTAGTGGCTAAAGTCCTTATCTTGCTTACCCGGGATCCCATATGGGCACCAGTTCTTGTCCTGGCTGCTCCACTTCTCTTCCAGTTCCCTGCCTGTGGCCTTGGAAAGCACTCAAGGACAGTCCAAAGCCTTGGGACCCTGCACCCAAGTGGGAGACCCAGAAGAAACTTCTGTCTCCTGGCTTTGGATTAGTTCAGCTCCGGCCATTGTGGTCACTTGTGGAGTGAACCAGCAGACGGAAGATCTTTCCCTCTGTCTCTCCTTCTTTTTTATAATTCTGCCTTTCCAATAAAAAATAAAAAATTCTTAAAAAATTAGTGCAGGCAGAAACAAAGTGTTTTGAGAATGAAACTCCTCCGAAGCGTTCTGAATGCAAGGCAGCAGCTGGTGAAGAGCTGCAGCCTTCAGAGGCAGCCACGGTTCTTAAGGTGGTAGGTTCAGATGCTGTGGAGGGCACTAAAGAGAGACGAACCAGTGCCAAATGCTTGAAAATGAAGCAAGGTGCTGCCTTGCCAGGGGTCCCGGGGTGGCACAGCCAGACTCGCAGGCAGCACACGTTCCTATGGCCATTGGCCAAATGCTTTGTTTTGCTCCCCCAGACACAAGATGTCCAACTGAGGACCTCTTGGCAGAGATGGAGATGAGTCCGTCAGAGAAGGACCCCCACACTATTCAAACCAACAGAAAGTATGACTCCCGAAATGCATAAAGGCCTTGGGACAGGACCCACTCTTACAGAAGGAATATTGCTCTGACTGCCCCACTTTCAAATGACTTCTCTTTTCTTATTACGTGCTGTCCGCTCTTCAGCCCTGGCGCGTGCTGTGCTGGTGGTGGCAAAGAACCTGCTCCTTGCTCAGGCACTGTGGTGCAACCGGTGAAGCCACAGCCTGGGATGCCTTCGTTGGCTGTTGGGAGCATTTGGGGAGTGAACCAGGACTTGAAAGACCTCTCTCTCTCCGCTCTGTCACTCTGCCTTTCAAATAAAAACATCTTTCAAAATAAAATGCTTATTTCCCAGCACAATTACTATGAGGATCACTGACATCGTTTTGCATTTCCATATAATTTCTTAAAATTCATAATATAGCAGATAAATTCAGTGCTTCATAAGGTTCCTTTCGATAACTTCCACTATTTCAATAGTAAGTTTATCAAAAGTTTTGTATTATGGCAATTTGCCTAAATAGTGGCGTTTTAAAAACACCTTTTACAAATAGGATTAGGAACTCAGGATTTGGAAATAAGTATTATATAGAACAGAGTAAATTTCAGAGAAATAGAGGTAAGTTTTTAACCTTTTAAGGTTTGTTCTTAATTAAAGATAATTCTCACTCTGGAAAGTAAGCATAAGTGTGAAATGCAACATGCTGTCTCGCCTGTATTTTCTTCACACCAAGCTTATTCTAGCACTGCGCAACCCATGTTTTCTCATAGGTTAGCTAGCTTTGAAAAAACCATCCATCATCTACTGTAAGACACATATTAGAACTAAACGATAAAAGTCAAAAAGACCAGCATGGGGGAAAGATACTGTCAGTATAGGATTCATGTGTTTGTAATTGCCCTTTTCTTTTTAAATGTTATTTTGAATGTTATGGTACAATTCCATAGTTGTGGCTGTTCTATCTCAGAAACACCTTTAGGACCCCCGGTGCACAGGGAAAATCTGAACCACAGAAACAAAATAAATCACTTGTTTCTCTCTGAGACCATTTCTCAGCCAGTTTACAGGGAGATTTAGAAATCACGGACAGATTTTTAAAAGCAAGTAGAGACAGCCTTTAAGTTCTATCTGAACGCTAACACAATAAGCACCACCCTGATGCGTTATAAAACCAATAGTTGACAAGGACTGAATATGGAACCTCTGAAGCGCTACGGGTCCGTTTAAATTGCTTTCTCTCGCGCTCCTTCACTTCTTAACCAAAACCACAGCAAACTGCAACCCCCTCAGACCGCCAAGGATGTTGGATCCACGTGGATGTGTGGACTCCGCACCTGCCATCCGCGGCCACGCCCCCGCCATCCGCGGCCACGCCCCCGTCACGACCACGCCCCGCCTCGGCCCAGCGCGGCCACGCCCCCGCCCGCCGCGCGCGCTCACCGGCGCTCTTCTTCTCCACCCTGCGCATGCGCTTGAGCCGCTTGAGCATGCCCCGCAGGTCGGTGATGCCGTACTGGAAGGCGATCTTCTCGTACTCGTTGGGGTTGGCGTTCTTGAGCAGCTCCCACACGTCCACCTCGGGCTCTTCCTCCTGCTGCTTCACTTCCCTGCGCGGGGAGAACCATCGGCTAGTTCAGTAGCTGCCCCGACCCCGCGATCCCGGAGTTTGGGTTGGGTGTTAAAAGCTGTTTAAAGGCTGGAACAGCGTGCTGGACGTTTAGGGAAGCTTCCAGTTAGTGCGAGATAAGATGTGCGAACCTAGAGGAGCGCTTTCGTTTTTCTGGTTAAAAACTCATTTTTAGGGTGAGCGAAGGGCACCGGGAAGGAGCCGTGAAAATATTTGCGTTCCACTTTAAGGGATTTTGAAAAGCCCATGGACGGTTTCTATCAAGGATGTTTATATTCGTCTTGCCAAGTAGGTTGAGAAATAAAGGATGGAAATGACCAAGAAAGAGGAATGCTGTTCCTTTCGTGGTGTACACGCCGGGACATAGTGCTTCGAACCTTTGGCTTTTGCAAACGAATTTTCCTACCATTTTAGTAAATACGTATATTACTCATTTTTCATATTTTCACATAAAGTATGAAACTGCCATGAAATTTTTTTCTTTCTTATTTTTATGAATTCAGGCATATTTCAAGATAATTTTTTTTTTTGCGAGTACTAATCTTTTTGAAAAGAACAAAATGTACTTGGCAGGCAAGAGTAAGTTGAAAAACTCTCTTGTTGTTACAGTACTGTCTCCTGTGTTGTGTGGAAGCAGGTGTGGTATGAATGATAAGAACACAGATGTTAAGCTGCAAAGCAAATGGTTTAGGGTTCCATGCACAAAGGGAAAGTTCTTAAATCATCACTAAGGAACTTATAAAGAACAAATATGATGAAAACGAGATTTAAAGTATGTATGTCTTATTTTAAAACCACAAAGTGAGAACAAAATTCAGGAACAAACATTCCTTAGGAAAAGAGGCTTCAAGTAAGTGTAAATGTAACGGAATAGATTTTTTCCCCCAGTGTCTAAATAATTGTGGTTCTCTGAGATTCTCTTGGGAATGCTGAAGTTCTGCTTCCTGGGAAGGGTGCTGGTTTGGATGTGAACTTTCCAGAACACGAGTTCACACACGCTGTCATTTTAGGGAATGGTGAGTTACCTACGCTGACACGTTCATCACACTCGCTGCAGAGGTTTTGCTTTCTGTCCCCGTGTACTTGGGGAGGGAAGTCCAGGGTTGTAAGGCGTACTCAAGAGAGGCTAGCCTGAGTATTTGTACAGCATTCAGAGTGCCATGAGACATGGAGTGCCTCTGGATGCCCCATTTCCATTTTACATTGTCAGCTAAATATTTTTTTTTCCCTACAGGGTTAGGAACTTTGGGGTGAATAAAGACGATGGAAGGAAGTGAGGGGCCGTTGATGCATCGGCAGCCTTGACAGAAAGGGCTAGACAACACCATAAGGAGAGCGTGCCTCTTACAGACTCAGCACACGGGCATGACGACGCCCCGCACGAAGGTGGAGAAAACAGTCGTCCTGAAATCGGAATTTTGACACAAAGGATCAGACTCTACTAAATCTGCTCATTGGCAACAGCCTCCATTTCAAAAACATCCCATTACATATTTCAACAGGAAGTCTTGGAGAACTGTAGTTAAGGTGTGTATATAGGTACCTGGGTGTATATTCCTGGTAGGGTGCTTCACCTACTTTCTTAAATACTCTGGTTTTTGTTAGTTTAATCACATTCCAGCTAAAGATAGGCCCTAAATCCAAATTATGCTACTCTAGATTGGGTTCAACTTGTATTTCAAGCAGGGAGAACTTCGCTCAGATGCCTGTCAACTAGCCTCCTGACATTGGTGCAAAGATGTAGAGATTCAGACCAGACAGAACAGCTAACAGGAGGCACAAATCCGTTATACCTAGACCCAAGAGGTATGAAAAGCCGATGATAAAGAGCCTCATTTCGAGTGATATCTTGAGTCAGTTTTGTTGATAGGATAAATCACCCTCACCATTTTTCATTTAAACACCAGGATCTACACTACCCTACCATCTTCCTAGTCTTAGCGCAGTTTGTTCAGCAACACGAGGGACCTCTCACCTGTTTTCTTTCTTTCCTTTCCAATGCTTCACTATACCCCAAATCACAAATAGAAGCTTTCCTGTTGTGCTGGGATATGAGGTGCAAGCTCTCCCCTACAGCATTTCCTTAACACATCTGGAAGAGGTCTTCACCTACCGTGGTGGCTGCACAGGACCCTGTCTGCACGGTCCTATTAAGTTGCAGCAAGGACAAAAACCCAAACTTACAGGCATCTCTGAATCCTTTCCAAGCACTGGGGTAGACCTGTATAAGGCCACAGTACTGTCGTCTACATTAAAATTTCTATAACTTGATGGTCCTAGTGAAGTATAAAACAGTTATAGAAATTTTATGTAGAACAAAACTTCCAAGTATTTATACAGGTCAAATCCCGTAGCAAGATGCTGCCCCCAAAATGTACTCCGATTTAGCTGATGTTCGTTGGAAGTAAGCTGGCTTTGTTCAGGACGGGGGACTCTTTCGTTATACAGAGATGGCCTCTGGCGTGATCTTTTATTCTTATGGGGACTTCGCCACACACTCTTGGAGAAGTGAAAAATGGCAACCATGTGTCATTAGCACATAAAGCACATGCAATTCACGAGTTAGTAGAAAAACACATGATTTCCAACATGGTTTCACTAGTTGGTTAGTGTACTATACTAAACGAACATGTTTTTTTGTGAACAGAATTTGATTATGAATCGAAATCAGAATAGGGGGATGTAAAGAAAATGAAAACTGGAGACATGTTGGCTGCCCATTTTATTTTTCTTAATGATTTTTCTTTCACTATTAGATTCCTTTTATTTTGCAAACTGGTAGAACTGTTCTATTCTTTTCCTTTAACTAGTTCATGACACTTAATAATCTATTGTGTGATGTTTTTATTGATTTGCCAATAAATGTGTGTGTATCTTACTTTTGAGGGGAAATGTCACATTTTCTTACTGAAAATGAGTATATGTTTGCCACTTACTGTGAGCATGTAATTTTCATAAGAATTTTTGTCAAGTAGGTTTTTTTCCCTTCATATTTGTAGATGTGAAACTGAGTCTCACGGAGGTCATATATTATAACCAAAGTCATGGAATTGCTAAGTGATATAGTTGGGATTCCAGTTTATGTTTTCACCACTAAATATCACCTCCCACAAATATATATATTATTCCCTTCCTCTAGGCCACACACTGGATTCTTTTCTTTATATCATCTGGCTTTAGAGTTTACACAAAGAAAACATTTGGTGTTTATAACTTTGAGTGTTTGGAGAATTAATAAATATATGGACACTAATGATTTTACCCAAAAGAAGGCAGCTGGATGTGCTATTGCTTTCAGCCTGACTCTGCTTTCAGCCTAACTGTTGAGGCTAGCAGTGAATTTTTCATTCACAGAGTCTTGAATAAAGCTGTCCAACTAAACTGAGAATAAATGCAAGCACCATTTATTGCAAGTATTTGTAATTTGTGGTGAAACATTTGACCTTAAATTCCTTTTGATAGCTATTGATAGCACTAAAGGTGATTTATAAATCTCAAGAAGCTAAATGAAAACTGCCAGTGTTTCATGTTATTAATTTATAATTGTCAATGAACGTTGTTTATGAATTTGCTAGAAGAAAATTCAACCTCAGTAAAAAATCCATTTATGCTGTTGCTTCTGCACGCTAGTGAATATCCAGATATGTATAGCTTTAAATATAATTTAAACATATGATTTTATGTGCATATATATGGCCAAAAATACCACAAAAATGATGATGCTAAATGTCCATAATCAAGTCCTTCAAATCCTACCGCAAGGCAGCACAATGTCAAGGAAATGTGAATAAATGTTAACACTAAGCATTTCCATTTGACTATCATATTTTATCACTTGTAAAATGTATTTTGGAGAGGATTTAAGCACAAAAGCACAAAGATGGCTTTTATAATCAATAGTACATTGTAGTAAACCATTTAAGACTATTTTTATTGTTTAGTGACTTACAAAGTGTTAACATAGCTTCAAACCAGTGGTGTCTTAGGTTTGAATGTGATTTCTACTAAAGCTGTGAAGCTGATTGTTCAATCAAATATCAAAGGTTGAAGAATGAGGCCTTATCTGTTCAGTCATGCTGCAGGTTGGGTGCGTCCCTTGCCATTCAAGTCTCATGTCTCAGTTTTCATGTCTTCCCATCCTCAGCGAAGGACACATGCAAAGACCCATGAAACATCGAGAAAGAAAAGTTAGAAGCATCAGCTAAAGTCTGAGACAGACTAGTTGGCACTTGTGTATCTCTTTCTTAGCCAACTCTGTTATAATTCTGTAAGCAAAACACATTAAAAAAAATTCTTTGAAAAACAGCGATTTAAACTTGACTTTGAATGGATGTCTAGAACATTTCCAGGCCACGAAGCCTCACTGCATCACTTGGTTCTCACCTACGCTTCAGGAGACCACTAAAGTCAAGTTCTCCTGCATCCTCTTGACCTTCTCCACTGTCATTAACAAAAGAAAAGCAGATCTGGGTTTAATGCAGGCACATACACAACAGTTCCCCCCCAAACACTCTAAATACACTGTATATGCAATTTTGTACCAGCAGGCAAGGACCGAATCAACACAAACGATTTCTTTTCGCACAAGTGCCATTTTAACTTGCTGGAGTATGTACTTGTGGAAAAGTCAACAGGGTGAGCTTGTGTGACTCTGTGATTTCAGAAGACACAAATTTGAAGATTGCATATATAAAACTGCTTGGATTTGTGTTAAAACCAGGTAACACAAATGCACTTATGCCAAGCAACACAAAGTACTTTGTTTTTGCCAGTTGGGGGTTCTAGAAACATACCTGTGTAAAAAGCAAAGGACTTTTGCTGCTTTCTGTTGTGTGTTTGACAGAGATTGGCTTTGCTGGACCAAGTGTACCCATGTCAGATATATAAGTGCACAGCCTTATGTTCCAAGAAAGGTAACCTCTGTGTGTCCACTGGTGGTGAATCAGATGTGATACCAACGTAGCATAAAGCTCTGGAGCCAGCACAGAGCTTTTCACGAGATGCATTCCTTTCTAGATGCCCATAAGTATGTCATTTGCTTGTATATATTCATACCTTTTAAAATGTAGTTTCCCATGTGTTTTTGAATTGCTAATGATCTCCTGACTAGTGATTTTAAGGAATATTTTCCTACCGAGAAATGCATCTTGAGCATGCAGCCACCATCATGACTTCATACACACTCTAAGTAGTAACTATGGAGCTGACACTTCAGTGGCACTACAGATTTACTCCCTTGATTTTGTAACAATGAATGTGCTTTCTGCTCTTTATTGACATGAGTTATGGGCTCAAAGAAAAGAGTGGGTGTTTAAAAATAGTATATGTGGCATGTAAGTTGTATGAATGAAGCTTAAAAAGGTGTGCTTCCAGAATTCCTTTCACAGCAAGTACGTGGAAGCCTTTTGTATACCATGGCTATATTGTATGTATAACATAGCCTTTTGTATACATTCTTTTAATGTCTGTAACTTGCTTGGCTATGTCTCCTTCTCCTAAACTCTTCTGTAGGTGGAACAAGCCTAGTTTTAGACCTGCGCGTGTGCTGAAACCAGGGTAACGGAGTGTGGAGGGGACTGGACGCATTTGAAAGTTAAGACATTAGGAAAAGCTAGAAAATACCAACTTGCAATGTACATATTATTAAATAACTTTTAAAAGGAATTCAAGTATTGGCTTATTCGTAGCTTCAAGGAAAACATGCCTTCTCATTAACAGACTAAGTTATTGTTTGAAATAAATTGAGATGACTTTCCTCACCAATCTGCTGCATGTGGATTCAGTCAGATCAAGATGTTTCTCTCGTGAAAGAATTCATATTAGGGAATATTAAGTACTGTGGGTGGCATGATAGAAAGTAGGGGTTAATTTTTTTCTCAGAGACTAGAAAAAAATTTTATTTCCCTCCCTGGGTCCTTGATTATTCGGTCTTAGAAGTTGCAATATAAATAAATATCTAATATTTCACCTTCTACAGTATCCTTAATAGCAGCAAACACAGTATCCTTTCATTTAGGACAATCCAATATTATATGGTGCTAAGTTCAGTAGATAACTACTTAATTGTGGTTTTCTTGGGCATATGTTTCAGGCTATATAAACGATTTCTAGTAAAAAAAAAAAAAGAGGAAGAAGAAGAAGAAAATGAAGAAAGAATGAAAATAAACAAGGAAAATGAATTTTTTTTCTGCTAATACTCAATTGCAGTCAAATGTTTTCTTGCTCATTTCTTTTGACCATCTGTTGGGAAATACTGCAAGCAATGAAGAAATCATTTGGATAAATGGAAAGTATATATTTATAAAGCTACTGAAGCCCATAAGAATGGGCATGTCACCATAGAAAGAATATTCTAGAAAGTGTCAGTATAACCTTGAGTAGGCCTTAAATCCAACTTTTAAGTATACGACATGTTTGTTGCAGTGGACTGGGCAGTTCGCCATTGGAACATGGAGTGTGGAGGAAGGCAGGTGTTTTAAAAATCCTCCTCTTCCATGTTATACAAAAGCTGTCTAGATTGCCCTCTTGAAGTTACCTTCTCTTGAAAGCAGACCGGATGTCAATGCTTGGAGTCATCCCTGTAGATTCTTAGAAAGGAAAGAAAACAATAAAGTAAATATCCATTCAGAAAGCAGTTTTGCGCTTGATTTATTTACAGGCTGTAGTGATTAGTCTTCAAACAGCCCTGTCAGCTAAAGAATTTGGGGGCGGAGATAAGGGTGCAAATGACTTGAAGAACTTGAAACATATCCACTTCTGGATGTTTTCCCTGATGGAGATCTTGATCCACCAGATCACAGATGGGCACCCACAAATCAATATCAAAACAAAACAAAACTACTGCAGGGCTGGTGCTGCCTGTCCCAATTTCACATATAGGCATGGGTTCGCGTCCCGGTTACTCCTCTTCTGACCCAGCCCTCTGTTCATGCTCCCAGGGATTCAGTGGAGGCTGGCCCAAGTATCTGTGCCTTTGCACTCATAGAGCCCCTGGTTCCTATCTCTGCTTATTCCATCCCTGGCTGTTGCGGCCGTTTTAGAAAGTGGACCAGTGCTCTAGTGCATGTGGAAATCCCTTTTTTCTCTCTCTGCTACTGTCTCTCTGTTTCTCCTTTTTTTTTCTCTTCCTCCTCTCTCCCTTTCTCTCAATGCTCTGCCTTTCAAATCAATCAATCAATCAACCATTTTTTTAAAATGTGCAGGTTATTCTCAGAGATGTCTGGCTATGGTCTAGGAGTTCTGTTTAGGACTGGATTCTCAGAGAAATCTCAGTAGTGAGATTATCATTAGTGACCATCCATCTGTGTTGAATGAGGATCTCACAATTTCCTTTGGATGTCTGTAAAACATTGATGAAAGAGTTCATCCTAACCAAAAGACAAAATCCACCTGCTCATAATCTCAGCCATGTGATTCTGATTCACTTAAGTGCTTCTTAAGGACACAGAGAAGGATTTTTTTTTCTTGTAGTTTTCAGCACCTTCCTCTCTTTGTAATTGTTCATGTACGCCTGACTTCCTTCCCTACACTACACTCAAGCTGGATAGTGCGTGACTTCTGGATTCTTCATTCTTCTGGTTACTCTAATCCAGAAGAAAGGCAGGTTGAGATGGCGCCATCTCATTCCAAATGTGAAACAAATAGTGTATTATAGAGAAAAGGATCATTTTCTCAAGCTTGATTCTATACTTCTTGGAAGAACCTGTGAACATTTGGAATTTGCTTGTCCATTGCCACTTCCAATTTAGCCTGCCCTTTGTAATTCATAAAAGTGTTTTTTCCCATCTAAATGTGCACTTTTATACTGTGTCTTTTAAATACTCTGAACAGTACCCAGGACATATGGATGGAGAATGTCCATATTTTAAATCAGATCATATAAGAGAAATTACCCATTCCATTTGGGTATTCTGACATGCTGATACCATGTTATACTATCCCTAAATCTAAGCGGGAAAGTAACCCCAATGAAAAATAACATTCAATAGCAGAAAAAAAATAACACCATCTCCTACTGAATTTTAAGGAATACAGCATAGAAAAATACTTAGCAATAAAATTCCACTTAATTTATCCCATAATAATATGATTTAGCAGGCTCTTTGAACATACCATGATCACAAATAGTTTAAAAGGAAAAGTTTTCCCCAAATCTCATGGCATTAAATAACTTTTTCTATCCCCACACATACCCCCCAGAAGATCACATTTATCTGGACAACAAAGCTTTCTTACCATGCACTTCAAGGTCAAATGAACAGCTGTCAAACTTATCCTTGTAGGTGACCTCGCATCTATAGTTTCCTGCATAATTCTCTTTGGCCTTGATGATTTGCATCTCAAATGTGTATACCTGCAAAGAAATGGATCCAGATTCACTGCGTGTCACCTTGTCAACAGCAAGGCTTTCAAGGACTTTTCACATTTGTACTATATTCTCTTTCTGGGAAGACTATAGGACAATCACAAGCAAGTGTAGACACTAGACTCAGTAACTCTTGCAGACTTGTCTGGGGCTGAAATCCCTCAATTAAATGTGGATGCATTATCCTGGCCTTGGTGCCAGGGTTCGGGGCCATACCCGTGTTTGCCTTTCAAAGGTTTCCTTTAGTTGAAGATGCTTTCCAGCTTTGCTGGCCAGATCCATCCATTTCCCCTTGAACCATTTGACAGTGGGCTTCCTAAGAAGATCTTCAGCCTTGACTTTAGCTATAAAGGTGATATTTTCACCTAGAAAAAGCACATGCAATTCAGTTTGTGGTTCTTAGAAATGGTCATTTGTTTGCCTTTTCACTGGAGGGAGTTGACTCAAGACTGCGCTGCACAGATTGGAGCATGGTTGGTGTCTCTGGAATCAGGCAATGAGTTGGCTCTGGTGTTTGAGAAGTGTCCTAGAGATCCTTAGAATCTTCCACTTATTTGCTCTTGAGGTTTATGGAGCAGAAAAAGAGTAATGGGGGGAAAATCAGTGGATATATTTTAAAAATATATATTTGAACTTTTTTAAAATCCTTTTTTATGAGTCTACAAGGTGGAAATCCTGGTATTCTAGGAACATGACAAAATGAGACTGAACTGTTATGTGCACTGATGAGATACTGACAGCATCACAGCTCTAGCCTGGCTGCCCCATGGCACTTAATGTCATAGCTGCTACTTGCCTTTCCAGGTTATAAAATGTAAGATTTAGTATAGATAGCTTAGATTACTTTTTAAAAAAATGGTGAGAAAAAAATGAAATCTAAAGCGAAGTTTATGTTGGTGCCATAGCTTTTGTGGAATATGCATTTCTATAGAAAATTATTGAGCTACACAAAACGAGACAAGGACTGAGAAGCAATAATGCGGATCTTGAAAGCACTGCAGAACAGGTAAATCCATAGATATAAAGAGGAGTGGGATTCAGGACCTCTGGGGAGAAGCTGGTGTGGAGTAATGACCACTTGGGATCCTTGGGTTGACAAAATGCTTTGAAACCAGATGGAAGTGATCACACAATGCTGTCAATGGCCACTGACTTTTCACCTTAACACAATTGATGTTATGTGGGTTTCACTTCAACAAAAGCCAACCACAGGAACGATTGCCAGGGACTCACCCACTTTCACGGTTCCTGTTTGAGGTTTCTCCACAAACAGGAGGGATGGCTGAGAATTGGCATTCTGCTTGTCTTGTTCCTCGCCAGCAGGTGCCTCACCGAGAGACCATTCTGATGAGCACAAAGGAAAAGAATCATTTGAGGGGCAGCCTCTTCTCTGGCAGACTTACCTGGATTCGCTGTTCTCCACCGTCACGTTTGTTTTTGTCTAATAAACTGAGAAGAATACAGCATTGTTCTTCCCACCCCCAGCAGCCGGCAGGAGGAGGACAGAGCTCTGCTCTCACTGGCGTGTGTCTTCCACGACTGGGCAAAGGATCAGTTCCTAATTCCTAGCAACAATGAAACTTGAGGTCTATTATTTCTTGGTCTTTGTTGGCAGCCACAGTTCCTTTGTTTCCCACCCTGCCTGTTCCCCCCAGTAGATGGATCTTGGTGGTGAGTTTTTTCATATTTTTGAGTTAAGAAGTCACCTTAGCAGAACAGCAGTGGAAAAGATGAGCAAGCAGGGTCAGTTTGAGAGCAATCTGACAGGAGCTCGACAGTCAAGACTGGCCAAGGGCTTTCAGATTCCTTGCTGTCCTATGATTAGACAATTTTATCAGGATTGGATAGATGAAACAACATGATCTGTACGTACCAATTGCAAGATTACCAGGAGTATAACGCAAGAAAGTGAAAAAAAAAAAAAAAGAAAAAGAAAAGCTTTGAGGTTTTCCCAATGAAGAGAGGCCACCTGGAAATGAAGTTCATTTTACGGTGTCTAATTGCGGGTGCTTGTTTGGGATTAGACTGCAGTCAACTACAAGGACAACAGTAGAGAAAGAACTCTAGGAATTCCTTGTGTCTCTGGGCTAAATACACAGACGTCCAGTTTCAGTGGCTTAATAACTGGAAAAAAGACAGGGGTCACCCACATTTTACCTGTTAATGTCCCTTGGAAAGAAGGAAAAAGCAGTTTCAGTTATTTTAGTTCTCAGTATCAGTCATGCTCGGGGCTGGGTGTTTGAACCACTATTTTCACAATGGAATTCAAAGCTGTAGTCACGTGAGGACACATCTTTAAATAGCCCAGCTGATGTTAACCTCTGATGGTGTGTGTGTTTCTGTTACCCATAGTAACAACGACTAGGACCTGTTCACACTTCGCACATGCGCACAAGTGACTGTGCTATGTGTTCCCTTCTGTATCTGCTGTGGTTATGGCCTATCGGAGACCCATAGTAGGCACCCAGCCAAAAGTGTGTGCAGTGTTGGAGTGAATCAATGATCTCACACAATCGGAACTACAGCCGACAGGATGTGTTCAGAAGTGCTTTGCCAACTATCTGAGTGTGAAATTTCATAAAAGTGTGAACAATTATCAAACGTTAGCACATCCCAGGGTTTGCATTGGTTTCTGTGTATTTGTCATAAGTGCTAGATCAAAAGGGATATTTACAATAAAACAAGTGAGCCTGTACTGTATGTGGCTGGAGTCTTGAATGTGTGTGTATGTGTGTGCATGTACATTATCATGCAAAATTAATCATTTCTCAAGACATTAGTTTTCTTGTAAGAGAAAAGGTGATGAAATATCACTTGTAAAAGCTACAAAGTGAATAAAACCAAGATTAGAATCAAAACAGCTTCCACGAAGTGAAGTCATTAGTGGTGGTATTAGGAGTGGTTGGGGACCTTGTCCGGACTTATGCTCACCTGAGTCTTTTCTTTCCAGGGCCCGACTACCCAAACCTGAAAGGAAAGTGTGATTCGGGTGATGTTGTGGGGGAGGAGGTGGCAGGAGGAAGACAGTGAGGAGAGGATTCTAATCCTCTTGGATTCCCCCAAACCCTCGCTCATCTGAGGATGGGAAGAGAAAAGCTAGAAGTTGGCTCAAATGGGATATCAGTAGAGCTCCATTTAAGAAAAATGGCCATAGAAATTACACATCTTACTTAATAAAAAGGAGCAAACTTTTGGCATGGCAGTTAAAATGTTACCTGGGACACCCACATCCCGTGTCACACTGCCTGGGTTGGAGTCCCGCCTCCACTTCCTGGTCCACTTCCTGCTGCTGTGCACCCTGGGAGGCAGCAGGTGATGGCTCAAGGATGTGAATCCCTGCCACCTGCCTGAAAACCTGGTCAGAATTCCTAGCAGCTGGCTTCAACCTGGCCCAGCGGTGGCTGCTGTAAGCATTCGGGGGAGTGACTGAGGGAGATGTCTCTCTCTCTCTGCCTTTAAAATAAATAAAACCAATAATAAAATTTAAAATACGAAGATCTTTAAAGATCAGGAGAAAGGGTATTTAGATGAAAACAAAAGTATTCATTTAAAAACACTGATTGATTTATTTACCAGTCAGAGTTATAAAGAGGGAGAGATAGAGGGATCTCCCAGCTGCTGGTTCACTCCACCAAATGGCTGCAACAGCCAGGACAAAGCCAAGTGGAAGCTGGGAGCCAGGAACTTCACCTGAATTTAATATGGGTAACAGGGGCCCAACTACTTGGACCTTCTTTCACTGCCTTTCTCAAGCCATTAACAGGGAGCTGGATTGGAAGTGAAGCAACTGGGACAGAAATTGGTATCCATACGAAACAACATTGCCAATGTTAACCCACTTTGCCACAATGTTGGTTCCAATTGATATTTTTGCTCCCGAAATTTATAGTCAAGATTTATTTACTAATCGTATTTATTTCAAAAAGAGCGTCTCTTTTTAAAATGCCTCCCATGAAAAACAGAAAAATAATTGTCCACACCAATGTTGTGCCCATTGGTGCTGGCAAACTTGGTTCCTCTGCCCTGTTCACCTGCTCAACACAGCGCCCTACCATCCCTTCCCCTTACTGACAGGGAGTGAGACCTTAACAAAAGTGCAATTGTCCTAACCTGGAGGCAAGGCACTAGGCGGGGAAGCTTCCTCTTCCTCTGAAACAAGAAACAGGAGTGAAAAGTCAGGGAGAAAAGGTCGTCATCCCGGGAACCTGAGGAAAGAAAAATCTGAAAGAGAACAGACACTGCACAAACGCTTGGAACGGCTGATCCCTGAAAGGGAAAACTGGACTACTGCAGCCAAAAAAAAAAAAGAGAGAGAAAGAAAACCAGCCAATAAAAGGCTGACACAGCAGGCTAACCCAAGTGAAAGTGTCGATTTAAACATGAGATTCTATGCCAGTGTTTTAGCAGATTGAAAGTCAGGAGAATACTTCATGCTAGAAACAAACCAACCTTGATGAAATCAATGATGGAGATGGTTTGTGACTCTTTGGGAACTGAAATTGAGGAATGACATTACTGTGTGTGTCACAGACACCTGGACACGAGGGATGCCAGCTTTTCATGAGCTCATTTCCACACGGAAAATCATCTGATGAATTCCACTTCTGTGTACCCGAGGCCAAAGCCAAGTTTAAGTAATATGAATCAACTTGTCTCACTGGATTTACTAGCAATTGTTTTATGACCTTGATAAGTAATTCCCCCGGATTATATTGGTGTTGATCAACACTGTATAATTTCATAACGTTTACATATATACATTTGTAAATCCCAAATGCATACCGGAAGGTATGCACAAACACACCAAATGAGTCCTCTTTTCTAAAATATCTACAGCAAAGCTCGCCTTTTAGATGCTGAGGAAGACATCAACTGAACCTTTACCCCTGCCTCCAAATCAGGAAACATGTCTGTATAACTAATCTAAAATTATGAATTTTAAAATATAAACTTGTGTGACTGCAGAAGGTAGGATACAGACAATCTATGCCCTTTGAAAGCTTTAATAAATGTCTGAGACCAGGTAAATTAGCACTTTTTAGAGTATTCATGGGAAATGTTACTCGCTGGGTTAAAAATTCCCTCCCCAAACTATCAACCTAGGAATCGGTTTTCTTATGTTTTAACAAAATAGTCTGTATAAGGGGTAGAGTCGTAACATCACAGTTTCAAAAAGCAACAGGATGACTCAGAGGGGACGGAGTGATTCAGGAAAGCTCATGGGATGTAATGAGCCCTGCTGTCTCCACTCTGTTAACAGAGGCTGCATTCTATCGCAGCTGTGTCTTAGCACTGAAAAGTAAGGGGAAGCTGATTTTCAACAAAGTTCTTTAGGACCAAGTCCTGTTAGTAGAATCCTTAGATAAACCAGGAGACTTCTCAGATGCTCACTCCGCAGTGTCCTAAAGGTAAATTGCACGAATGTGTTTCAACAGGCTAATAAAAAGCACCAAGATAGTGTTGTTTCAAAAACGAACCTAAATGAAGACAACAAATTAGTCATTCTTCTCATTTAAAACAAAACAAAACAAAACAAGGCAATTAGGAGAAAACACGCTGGAAAGACTGCTGATTGACTTCCTCGTCTGCCAGCCCCCAAAGGGAGACTCTTCATGCCAAGTTATGGGGGACACGGAACAGGTGCAGGCTTCATCCACGGTGTGTTATGTGGTAATGTTAGTGCCGGGAACAGGAGATACGCTTTTATTTCCCTTGCAGAGATCCGCAGATGGTTTGCTCTGCACGCAGTTGTTTCCCTGGAATAAATATCTAAAAATGCAGCCACCTTCTCAAATGGGCTTTCCTTTTTTTTTTTTTTTAGGCATCAAAATGAATACTAGTCCTCCAAGTAGTCTCTAATTCTAACGCTGCTGCCATCTAAGGGATCATTCATAGAACCAGTTCTGGAGCTTCCAAAGGGTCCATTGTGAAGGCATGGGAGAGAATCAGTCTTGCTATTCTATGTTCACACAAAAGCTGCTAGGTGCTGGTAGACCAAAAAGAAGGAGAGAGAGATAATCCCACCTGATCACTCACATTATTCTCTATGCACAGGATCTGTGATTCTAATGTGCTTACAAAACTGAAAATGGCCTTCCTCTGTGGCTGGCTGTTCTTCCCTGCAAAGCACAGGTGCACCCTGCGGGATAGGATGGGGCACCTAGATCTGTGCCTGGCACACAGCCTTCACTTAGGGATACTTGCTGAATGCCAAAGTAAATGACAGATCCCAGGGGTCACCGAGAAGGTAGATAACAATTTCTACTTTGCATCCCTGTGATTTGTCACCTGTAATTAATCTTTCTGCAAGAATTCCAAGCCAGAGAAACATTATTTTTCCAATGTGATCATTCAAAAAGGGATTTGCACATCTAATTTATGGCATTGCTTTTTTTTTTTTTAATTACTGATTTCTGTTGTCTCTATTGTTTCAGTTCCAGGAGATTGCCTGGGAGAAATTAGTCAGTACTGGGGGAGCAGGAGGGCTGCATAGACAAGTCCCGAGGCAAGCAAGCAAGCAAAGAGACAACAATAAAACCCCTTCCTGGGAGACCAATTGTTTCCCAGACAGTGGCTTTACCAGCTGAGAAAGTTGACAAATTTAACCATAAAATTTTCACAACATTTCCCAGATGTCAAAGAGCAATTCAGTCAACCTGGGAAAGGTGTCAGGCTGCAGGGCGATGAGTAATAGCCTTAAAAGTGACAGCCTTGAAGCTATTCATTGAATATACTTCCCCTAATTAGCCAAGGTTCAAGTAAAACTGCTAGAAAATTCACTGGGATGCAGGCATGCCGGTTATCTTAGCGCAGGCATCATCTGCCTGTCCTGTGCTGGTGCTCCATTCTGAACCCTCACTGATTAAAAGCAGGCAGATGTTCACCCTGCCCAGCAAACAGGTTGAATGGAAATAGAAGTCTATCAAGACCTCCGTGATCTGCATGTAAATTCAGCTGTTCATCCACTCGCCAAGGATCTGTTAGGCCATTGCTGCGTGTTGGTCTCTGCCAGGAGCTGGAGGGATTGAAATGAGGGCACAAACGTAGGGCTAATCACGACAGTGCCTACTGCCTCTTAGGGAGAGGACGCATTGTGAACACACGAGTAAGTGGAGAGTGATTGAATGATAGGGGCAATAGGTCCAGGAGAAATCAGAAGGAGGAAGGAGATGAAAGTGAGCCAGGAAGATGAGGGGCAAGCCGCACAGAGAAGTGAAACCTGAAGGTAATGGTTAGGGAAAAAATTCAAACCATCTGAAAGTGGGAGAAGGAATGAGAGGCAGGGAGGACCTCCTGGTTAATGTAAGATTGACAAGGTTGGCACTTGTCAATCAACCAATCACCTCTGTGTCTAGCCCCTGCAGGGTTTCTTTCTCACCTAGAAAATACACGCAGTAGTCATTACCGCATCTTCTTTGTGTTTTCCTGGGAATTATCCCTTATGGAAAGGAGTACTAGTTAAAGAGGACTGTCTATTTACCTATTTGCCTGTTTAGGAATGTCACTGTCAGTCTTGGATTGCTTTACTTCTTAAGCATGAAGGACACATCTATATATTTACATGACAGTGTATGTGCCTGGACGAGTGAGAGCACGTGGTCATGTGCTTGTTTATCTGCTGCAAATGTTAGAAAAACTGTATAAATTTCAGAATGCCCTCGTCATTTGGACTTGCTGTTCGATCCTCTGTTTTCCAGGATGGTTATTGATTGGTTCATTTTATCTTATGGAAAGGAGTGCCTTCATTTAAGCATGTGACCGTAATATAATGACTGTTCACATTAAGGATCAGGCCCAGGTTTTGCATAAACGTTGACAGGTTGCCCTCTGGGCTTGCATCATCTGTTGTGCCTTAAAGCCTCGGCCAAGCACCTTTCCAAATTTGGAAACAGAGGTGTATGCCTTCAGCCTTGTGGAGAATAAGGTTACAATAACTGCAGTAAGTAACTCCCGTGGAACGAGTTCTAGGAGTTTTCACTGACTGCATTTCATAGCAGATGTTCTTCCAACTGTGGTCCACGTAGCTAGGATTAACAGACAGCTGTTACTGTCTATGGGAACCACGAAGGTCAAGGACAAAGTGCATGTGCTCGTATTATATATGCATTTGTGAGGGCATTAAGTTCAACTTAGTAGAGGAAAAGTGATCCAATGTACTGAAAGAAAGAAAAAGGGTGATTTTATTAGTTTGTAGGAGACAACATCATCCTAGAACTTAGATGAGGAACTATGACGTACTAAGAAAAAAGATGCTTCATACACTCCTGAGAAATGTTCAGGAAAAAGCAGAAATGTCCTTTGTTGTTGGAAAACAGTCATGCCAATATTTAAATTGTTGTTCGTTGTATTAATCAAAGGGCAACTTACAAAAATGACCACATGAATGATAACACTTATAAAGCAAAATTGCAAAAACCCACTTTTACGTTTTCCTCTCTGGAGAGCTAACGCTCCTCAGGGTGAGGCAGGTGGTTAGTAGTGGCAATGACTTCTTCACGTAAGACAAGGACTTTTAGGGCATCACAGTCACAGGATGAGGGCCACTCATCTTTCTAAAACGAGGCCGTTCTATACAAAATGAAAACATACAGGAATAAATGAGTTCTCCCTTTAACACGGAGGAATGCATGTGCTTAAAAATGGATTGTTGATCCGTGTAGATCATACAAATCCTACACCAATACAAAGTGCTATAAAGAGATGCTAGCTAGCCTTCAAAACATTGTGACGTAGTGACATTGGGGCAGTTCACACAATCAGATGGAAACATTTAGTTAAAAAAGATCTGGATAGTTAAAATTGTTTTCTCAACTGATGCAATCCCAAGAAGATCAAACAGCTCTGCTTCACATGCATTTTGAAACTTGGCAACTACCAGTCAGTTTGCTGGCATCTTGACAAGTGCATGTGATGTTTTGATCACTGTTGTTTTCCTTTTAGCAATGCTTGTAATGGAAATTGAGCAAAGCACCATGTATCACCAGGCCAGTTAGGTCCTGCCCACAAGATGCAAAGGGAGAATTCTAATCACACTGATGCGGGAGAGGAGGATGCCAGGTCCTTGGGGCCACTTGGCAGTCCTCACTGGCCTCTTCCTGCTTCTCATTTGCTTGGATTTAACCTCATTCTGCCTCCTCCCAACTCACCTTTTGCTGGAGCCGTTTCCGCCTGCTTCTCTTTGTTTGGTTCTGTGTGGAAAGTACAAGCACATTTTTTTAAAAGTGTCTCAAAGCCTCTTATTGTTGGATGAGCAAAGAGAGAAAGGGAGAGGGGAGAAAACGAACAACAGAACAGAAAAGAAATGATTCCACTTTCCAACCGATCATGGTGCATATGAGTTATTAATTTGGGAACTATAACTTAAAGGCACACAAAACTTTCAATGAAAACAATGAATACATCTTGACTTTTTAGTTTTTTTTTTTTAAAGCATACACAAAAGCATGCAATATGGATGTTTATTAAAATACACTCAGCTGGACTAGGCCCATTTTATATAGCATGCTGCAGTAGAATTGAGTATAAAATAAGAGTCACTTCATTTTAGAAGTCCCGACAAGGGACACACTTACTAAAGACATTTAACCTATGCAGTGGTTTCAATAGTTTGGATTTCTAGACATTTTTTTTTTTTTTGGAAAGGCTTAAAATTGTTAACTGCCACGTATGCAGTTCCAAAGGGGATGGAACTGTGTGACACGTAAATCTTGTGGGTTGGATGAAGTGGCAAGATGTGTAGGATGAAAACAATAACATCAAGTTTTATCAGGCAAAACCATCTAATCTGCATTTCTCTCTGTTCAGACGCATAGTACTTGAACACCTGCAAACACATGTGTCTTGTGGTATATGCCAGGAAAGAACAATTTCCCACATGAGTTTGCACTCTCTCTCTTGTCCCTGACGAATCCAGATCTCAACCCACCAACGGCAACTTGAGCAGTGTGGCAAGGTCTATCTTGCACAAGGAATGTGAAACAGACACAAGAAGGGGAACTTCAGAGTGGCCCAAGGGCAGCAACTGATCTAACAGGAAGAAGGGAAGAGGTGAGTCCTTTGTAATAACCAGGAAGATCTCAGAGTCCTCGTTACGGGTCAACCCAAATCAGCGTGTGCATGAAGAGCCACACCAAGGAAGACCGTCTGAAGAATGTCACGGGTCAGCACTAGCTTCACGGACTTAAGGAAAATGAAACCCAAGCTTGCCCTGCTTCAATCGAAGGCATTGAGGCTGTTTCACACATTTTGACATTCTGGAAAACTAAATTTCTTGGCTGAAAAAAGGAACTTCTGTGATCTGTCAGATTTTCTCAAAGTACTTTTCCTGAAGAACCGACTCCTGGGCGGATGGGCTTTGTGGCCGTGTCAATGTCCATGTGGATAGATGAGCAGAGACTGAAGCTTATTCAGCTGTTGCTTTAGTTCAGCCGGGGCCAATCCTAGGGGATCGCCCACCTCTTGGTTTTTTAGTATATTGGCAATTCAAGTAACCAGATTACTGAGGCACACACTGCTCAGCTGAGGGACTGAAGCAGTGGCTTTAACATTGCCTAACGCTCTCATTCAGTGGTTGTGTTTTATATAATTGTCCTCCAGATCCAGACCATATTATATTTCTTATTTTGCTTAAAAAAAAAAAGCAACAACAACAGAAAACACACATACACACCACAAAATAAAATAAAATAATCCAAACACATTGCTTTTGGCAAAATGATTTCTATCTAGAGTTTCCCGCTTTAACTTGCCCACCATGTAAGCACCCAGCTGTTACAAAGATGTGGAAGAAGTTCTGTCTCCTTCTTAGGGGTAAAAGTTGAGTTGTGTACATGGGATATATCGAGTGGCTAATTCTTGACGGGACGCCAGTTTCTTGTCCTCCTCAAGGAAGAAGAGTGATGTACAAGAGTGTTTGGGAATCTTCATGGGAAAACATGTTTGATTTGGGTAACTTCCACCATGGCGGATATTTGATAGGGCCGAGTTCACCAGCCCAACTGGGCTTGTCCCTCTTCCAATTCTGCATTCTGTTTCAGGAGCATGTAGGTGGAAAAAACAGGCTTCTTGTAGTATGTCTCGCTGGGTGCTGGGTCTCCCTACCAGGTATGTCTTTATTGGCAGCTCATTGTTGCCACCTGCTGGACAATAGAGTACCAAGACCTGAGAAATTGCTTGTGATGCTGAGCCCCGGGAGCAACCACCACCAAACTGGAAAGTTCTCAAGAGTTTCCGGTGCTGCTTGATAGTTCACACTGGGAAAGGTGGTGACATAATTGGGAAAGGGTTGCTGACCTTCCGGGGCTGAGGTAGGATCCATTCCCAACTCTCATAAAGAAGAGCTAGGCTTTGCTCGAGTTTCACTCTATAGGAAAATTTTTTTCACCAACCCTTCAGCCCCTGGGTGGCTGAAAAACTTTGGTATGACAAGTGGAAAATCAGAACTTTGGAGCACAACAGCAATTTTTTAAAACATAACTTGAGAGCTTTATAAGAATCATTCCACTCATGGATATGAAGTGAAATCCAAATTGGTTTAACATGAGGTGGTTACATAAGCACAATGTATTATTTTCATTAATAGCAACTGATCATGAGACTCATCCACCAAGTTGTCAGAGGGAGTTAGGGTAAAGCTCACGACATCAACGAAGGCCACATCATGCTGGGACGGACGTTCTGTGTCTGCAGCCCAAACGTGGGAGGCAGGTTTTTGACTCACCTTCCGGCGGTGGGGCTGGGGCTGGAGCTGGCACTTCATTTTCTAGAAATACACAGAATAATGGAAATATTAGCTTCAGTTATCTTTTAATTCAATTTTCCTTTTGCTTCCTTGAAGTGCCCTCTTCTTAGGCTTGCTGTGAGCATGGAACAAGACCCAGTAGGTGGCCAGCACATCCCATGCAGCCTAAGGCGCTAAGTCACAGGAAGCTGAGGGTGGAGTTGATGCACTTGCTTTCCCCGGGGACCAAGGGCACCACAGTATCTCTGACATTGTCCCGCCCTCACTTCCTGAGAGATGGGAGCTCCAAGTCCTCTGGCTTTGTAGCCTTGAGTTTGATGACCAGCAAGCTGCTGTTCACTGAGAAACCCAACTGCCTCTTCTCACAGTTGTTTCTGGATGCGTACAAGCCTGGGGTAGATTTCCACCTACACTCCACAAACATTTTCAAAGCTCCGGCTTTGAGGTTTGTTTGACACCTGGCCTTGGATATCCAGGATTATGAAGCAGTCTGGCTATGAAGTCTGTTTAAGAAGCATCTGCTGAAAAAGAAAATACTGTTTCCAAGTAGTGAAAGGCATCCCCATGACCAAAGAGCGTAGAATTTCCCCTGCTGACTCCCTGGACGTGCCCAGAACTGGGAGTTCCTGACATGAGGGAACAGCCTGCCTCAACTCCAAGGCAGGGAGTTTACCTCTCTGCTTAACAATAATTTTCCACTGGATTGTTGAATACCATGTGAAGCGAAGTATTTGCAGGACAGGCACCCTGAGCGATTCTGGGAGCCAGGCTGGCATTTTCCCCCTCAACTGAATAACACTCTCTGAGGAGGAAGAACAATGCCTGAGGACAAGCAGTCTGGCCCAGCGTCATTGCCATGCGAGGGCCGAGTGGACTGTTTTAGTTAGGTAGGCAGAAAATGAACGGATTGTGCCATAACTGAAACCCAGAAAAAAGCAAGGCAGGATTACCAGGATGCCACAAGATTTTCTGCCATCACTAATTTTGGCATACCTGGTGTCATCTCTACTGAATCAGATGAGCATAAGTGAATATGTTACTTTAGTATAATACATCGCTATACTCTAGTATATATTACTATACCAAAGTCTATATTATGATATCACTACATTTTATATATAATATAGCATACATGTAGTATTTATTACTACTACTATACTATAGTCTATATTATTATACTATGCTGTGGTGCCCTTGGAAAATGAAACAGAACCAAAAGAGAAAAAAGTTAAACTTGCAGGCTGGTAGAAGACAACATGGCAAGATGTGGGGATTCACAGATGAGTGAGAGCATGGAGTCCTCTAGGTGGCTTTGACAGCCAAAAGGATCATTGGGACCATTGTTAGCCAGCAGACAGGCTTGTTGGTCAATATGTTGCATTCCCAAAGATCTGTATATAGAAATGGAAATAAAATAGTGTTCTCTTGGCTTTGGCCAGCACATTGCCACCCACAGATATCAAAATACCAAGAGCATGTAGCCAGTTTCTTTGACATACTATCTTTTGGACGGGGTCCCTGCCGCCCGGTGCCTGAGGACATCTTCCTGGCTCTCTGCACAGACAGGCTTCTCTCTGCCCCACCGTCTTCTGTTCCCACTGTTGCGAAAGTTCTGTGTTCTACAGTTGTGTTTCCTCTTCTTATTCCCCAGAGGGTCTCCATTCTCTAACGGGTTGAGTCTCCTCTTCAGCACGTTAGGATGCAAAGCCATTGTCATAGGCACATCCTCACATCATGGCCCCGGGTCTCTCTATCCCAGGCACCTGTTCTCTTTTTACTCTGTCACTTTTCTTCTGCCAAAAAAAAAAAAAAGGCTGAGTTCTCCAAAAAACCTGCTTTTGTTGTGATTGAGTCAGACAGACCTACAGCTGCATCCTGACTACACATTATTACTCGGGAGATCTTGGGCAATCCCTCACTCTCTGTCAGGCTCAATTTCTTCACGTGTAAAATAGGAAAAATAAGATAAACGGCCTCTTACGGTGCTGATCCTCAGTAAAACGCACAGGACAGGTCCTGGCAGAAAGAGCGCTCTTGTCATGAACAGTATCATGACCACCACTAGACTTGGGCAATTTTTGTCTTTTCAACATTTCCATCAGAGATTCCCATTTTTCCATTCTGTTTCCCTTCCTTACTCCCCTGGCATTCTGGAGCATATCCTAACACATTCTTTGTTCACCAAGTTAATTCTTCCTCAGTAGTATTAGTATATATTTGTACGGATACTGTACATATGCATGCACACACAGGATAGCTAGAACTTTTTGTTTTAAAAAAACAACATAGAATTTGCAGTATTTTACAGCTAGTGAAAGAGCAAATGCATAAATAAATAATAATCACTATTAGCATCCACGCCAGCAGGACTAGTACAAAGGAACGCTCATGGAGGGACAGTTATTTGGCCTACCAAGGAATATGCCAGCTAGGACACCTGTGTCCCACATTCAAGTGTCTGCCTTTGAATCCCGGCTCCAGCTCCTGACTCCGTGTTCCTGCTAATGCAGACACTGGGGAGCAGAAGAGATGGCTCCGGCGGTTGCGTTCTTGCCACCGTGTTCCTGGATGCCTGGACTACCTTCCTGGCCCCCTTGATTCTTTCTTCCCCACCTCCATCCTTAACCAGAAAAGAGAGGTGGGTATGCTCTCTCTGCCTCAGGAAAAAAAAAAAAATCTCGGAAAAAAAAAAAAACCAGCACTGAAATGCAATTTTATTTTAGTGCGAACATAATTTGAAACCCATACATCGTTTTTTCACAGCAGTTTTTCATGAACTTGTTGAAGACTCCCTGTTACTTGTGTGTTTAATTTTTACAATTCTGTGAAATCAGTGTTACAATTGTGACCATTTTGCAGTTGGGAACTGAGGTCCTGTGGGGTACATCCGAATCCTGTCCCAAGTCGGCCTGACTCCAAGCAGAGGTTTCCAATACAGGCAAGGACCTTCCTTCCTATGTTCTCCAGCAGGCAGAATGGGTGGAGGGCTTCTCTGAGCTACTTCTGCATCTTCCCGCCACGGAGTTGCTCTGTCGTGTTCTCTCATCACTCCCCCTATGTAGGAGAGGGCCATGTCTGAAATGGAAATCACAGCAGAACCTGCCACATGTAAGGTTTTGTCTTATTTCTAGGCCCGTGGGATGCACTCTGTTAGAACCTGTTGAGAACTGGGGTGGGGACTTGGGGAAGCATCTGGGAACTGGACAAAGGAGGTTGGCCATTCCACCTCTGCTACAAAATGGCGGCAACAATTGGTTTCAATGAAAATTTCTATGCATTGTATTTTGCATGATGTAAATGAATAGATCACTTAGTCCACTGTAGTGGGACAGGAAGGATAAGAGGAAGTGAACTCTGTCATTTTCGTGGCATTTGAAGCAAAGGGTTCCAACTGGGGAAGCAGGAGTGGGGGAGGTAAAGCAGCACGTGATGTGGACAGAAAATGAACTGGCACAGACCGCTGGACCCCCAGGGGACCCCCTTTTACCTTGAAGGCACTGCTCACAATGCTCTCTTGCTCTGATTCATACCTTTGTCACCCACAGATTCTGCTGTGCCCAGATTTGCCCACTGCTCAAAAACTCACCAGCATATTCTTACATAGATGCATGCCTTGGTCATGGCCATCCACTGAGAGCAATTTTCACATTATCCCACTGAACAAGGGTTATGGCCAGGAGAATTCATCAGCCGGAATCCATTGAGCTCCCATTGTAGATTTCACAAGGGCTAGGGGCTTCTAAAAATGGCTGAGATACAGTGTAATCGTGAATTTAAGAAACTCATGCATAAATAAGCTGGCCATTGGTCTCAACGCACTCGCAAGTCACTTTGTTGCCTGCCATCAGTCAAGGCTCATGAGGACCCTCTAGAGCCTCCCCCCCCAAAGCTGTAAACTGCACAGTGAGCTTAGGGACCCCCGCTGAGCTGCAGGTGCTGCAGCCTCGGCCTTCAAAAGCCCACTTTGCTATCGGGCTCCCAAGTGGTGCTGATGATGCTGGTCCAGGCATCACACTCTGAGTGGCAACCTCGGCCCCTGAGGGTTTGCAGGTTCTTGCGGGTTCCACTCCCATTTCAAGTGACATTGTGCATGTGTTGGAGGGCATACAGTAGCTGGGGACTTGTTTCTTTGATCACAAGCATCCTGAGGACAAGGCCTTTCTCCTCCTCCTTTTCAAATTCCATGCAGCAGGTGCTCTATAAATATAGTAGACTGGCAGATGGCTCCTGCCATCACAAAAGCCCCTTCCCCTTCCTGCCAAGAAATCAAGAACCATCCGCTGGCACTCAGTGGGCAGCTTTCTTCGTCTGTGTTACCCAGAGGGAACACTATGTCTTCCATTGGTCTGCCTCCCGCTGGCTGAGGGCTCTGAGGCATTCGCCCAAACCCTATCATTTAGATTTCTCCTTACTGTCAACACATATCTTCCATTTCTTAACAAGAGCAGGAGAGCAGTTAGGACTGGAGTATTGGCTCTTGGGAATAACGCACCCCTGGCCTTTGCAGGGCAAATTCTATGGAACTTTCTGGTAGTTTGCTTTCTATGCTCCCTGACAATTCCATCCTCCTATCCCTCTTTGTCAGAAAACATACTGAAGGATGGGGCAGATAAGCTGCTGTGTGGAAACTTGTTTGAGTGAAAGGAAGAAAAACAGTGTGCTCCTTGAAAAAAAAAATTCAAAGGAAATATTTTAATGGACAACTTGAAAATGAACTGGATTTGAACCGGTGACTTGAGCCAGCCACTTCTTTCACAGGCAAGGACGGCTGCCCTTTGATCCTTTTAAATTCACAGCTCTAGTCGGTCTTGACTTCTCCTCTCCTGAAATGCTCTCAAAGGGCCTGATCTATTTTTGGTGGATTTTCCTATGATCACCTACTGTAAAAAGCACAGGTATGCCACCAATGGCATGCCTGCACTGCCTGTGCCAGCGCCTTGTAATTGACGGGCACTGGTGGAAGCTCTGAAAGAGACAATCCCATATGTGGCATTTGGGCTAGGAACCCAGTCGCTCCATAA